ATCGTCCCAGCACAAATTCTCGGACAGAAGGCTGGTCTTCACAGCATCACTAGAGAGGGCGATCTGTCTCATGGAGGGGCGGGCAGCCACCGCCACCAGTCTAAGACAGTCCACTCAGCAGAACCAGGACTTGTCTGTAAACACTTCTACATCTGGCGAGGTCACAGGTCGAAAGATTTAATGGCATCACAGCGGCGATAACAGTTGGGGTTTATACATCTCCAGGTTTACCCGATGACGCTGCTGCGAATCTGCGATTACTCTATTCATAACAAAATCAGTACAAATGTTATGTTTCCGTCAGTAACGGTAACGCCCTCAGAAAATTATCCTCCGAGCTGATCAGTGGTGAAGAGGATAAAAGGAAAAGGAAAACAAAAGCAGGCGTGTGGTTCATTGCACCAGGAAATTCGCTGAGTGGTGCGAACATTGTCGGAACACCTGCCGACGAGCAGTGTGTTGTCAGCTCTCGTAGTGTATTAACTGCAGTGGGCGTCGCGGAGTATCTAACGGTGCTGTACAGTATATTCATTTGACTTAAGTACATGTAAATTGATAATTGTATACTGCCCCCTACCTCATTCCATCCCCTTTGTCTTTGGGTGATATGTCAGGCCACTTTTGAGTTGAGAAGCTGAAATTTGGACACAAAAGTGGGTCGGTGTACGTTGTTAGTATCACTACTTGTTAAAAGTAGGCCTATAACTTTAGGTCAATTGTAAGATCAGCCGTGGTGTACACCACGCTGTGGTCTCCCGGCGGTCGTAATACAATAGAGTAAAAATTGTGTGATTTTTCAAGATGGACCATGGTGGCACCCGACCGTCGTTTGTTGTTACCCACGTCGCCATAGTAAAGTCAAGTGTATCAACTGGCGGAAGACTTGGGTGTTGGTACGCTTGCACCCTCCAAACGTTGTCAGTGGCACGAAATGCTTACTCTTGCTATACGATTTACCAGCATGAAAAACTTGAATCCCAAGCTAAGGTGCACCTCATTTTCCCATTTCTTTGATTATAAGCCAATTCTGGGAATGAAATACGATCACTTACAGTGAATATAGGTAAATAAAGCCTGTGACAAACATATAAATGTAGGGATAGATTGTAATATCTGTTCCTTTCTTCTTTATCATTATTAAATCTAACAATAAAGTAATAAGTTTGTCACGAACTTGGGGTTGGGTGAGTGTAAATAAAGAGAACTATGGCCTGTTCAGTGGATGAAGTCAGTAGAACATAACAAATTACAGTACACTATTAGGTATTACAATTTTGCTATGATAGTGATGAACTCACTGTACAGATCAATTGGGATAAAATCTTGAAAAAATATCACCATAACTGTTAGTTTTCGATCAAACAGGAAATTATCTTTGTACCAAAAATTTTTACTTTCATATTATACAAGTATAAAGGCCGGTTATCTACAAGATATGAAAACTTGAGATAATGTTTCCTACTTGCCTCCACCTGACTATAGTAATGCAATAAATACCCTTTCAAAGAAAGCAAGGCATGAACACCTTCCCAATGTCAGGAGCAAAAATGTATACAATATGTTAATGACGGCCTAAACCAGCAGTTGGAGAAAAGTATCTGCTCTTTAAATGGTCTTTTATTTGGAAAATATTCCATGTAAATACTCTATATGGATCCTCACCAGAGAGTCTTCATATAGTTAGTGTGCAGACAATTGTTTACAAGGCATACACTCAACTATAATGGAAAGGAAGACATGTTAGGTTAGGTTAGATTAGGTTCATCTCGTGAGCAAATGTCATGGAACCCATATACAGTAGGTATATTCATGAAATTCTACCACCTAATCAGAACGGAAGATACAACACAACATACACGACTCATTTCAAGAAAACTTTCTGGCCATTTAAATAAACAGCCCAACAGGAGGACCCATCATAACACCGGTCAACACAATTTTTCTGGTACAAGGTATTTAAACGGATTTTAAGTAAATTTGGGGTGCAGAATCCAAATATGACTTTGGTTTTTGTCTATCACATCAGGTTTTTGAGATATACCATATTGCACTTTTGCTGGGAAACGTAAACTTTTGGATCAAAATTGACGGTTTAAACATGTATACATAAATTTTTTCAGCATTATAATTTGCATTTTTCTATAACCAAAAATTGTTAATATCAAATTGGAAAGTTAATGCACATATAATATTTAAATGTAACATTGAAGGGTGAAAAAAAACAATTAATGTACGGTAGAAATAGTGCAAGTATTAAGATCAAGTTACAGTTACATAAACTTCCTCTTTTTGGCCGATCTCTTATGTACAGCTTCTGGAATGTCTCTCATCAAACTCCAGCAGTAGTCCGCCATCATGTTCGAGTCCCATCGACCTTGGTAACGTTCTTCCATTACTTTAATGTCTTGATGAAAGCGCTCCCCTTGCTCCTCGCTCACTTCTCCCAGATTTTCTGGAAACTCGTCCAAGTGACTGTGTAAGTAGTGAACCTTGATACTCATTCTGCATCCAAGTGCTTGTAAACTCAAGAGCAGCTCTTCCACAATTTCTTGATAGTTGTCCGCTTTCTTGTTCCCTAAGAAGTTCCGCACCACATTAGAGAAAGCATTCCAAGTTCTTGCCTGTGCCTCAGTCATTGTTGCAAGGAAGTGTGGATCTCTGAGTAGTGTTCTTATTTGAGGTCCATCAAAAATCCCTGCCTTTTTCTTCTCGTCGCTAAGACTTGGAAAGGTTGAGCATATATATCTGAAACACTCTCCACTATTATACTGCCAGATTCTGGGGTCACTAAATCTAAGGGGATAACTTAACTCTAATCTTAATTTCTAAGGGTCGCTGCCACCAGACCCCCTCTGGACAGCATGTAGCTCGTTAGGTAGCGGGCAGAGTGGACTTGGCATTGGGTTAGGTTTTCAATTGACCAGATCGATAAGGGTAAAGAAGGGTGAAACCATAACATGTCTTAATTGATTTATTTCTTATAAACATACTGGTAAAAAACACATACAACCACACTGTGGACCATAATTCCAAGGCCTGTCCCAGGGTATAGCACTGGCGCCTCTAACAACTGCTGTTGTGGTCGGTTACACTCCGACCCTAGATGGGTTTGGGGTCATCGGCCCACGAGGTAGAGTAGAGCCGATTAATCATGCCGAATCAGCGCCATCACTCCTATATTGACCACTGCTGGGTATCCACCGGCTCCGAGCGACCGGTGGGTTTCAATTAAGCCCACCCTCGACCTGGAGGCAAACGGGGCAGCATCAGGGGACGCGCTCCCTGGCCATCTTGAGTTTATATACCCCTGAGTTGCCAGTGATCGCTACTCACGCAATGACAATAATCACAAACAAACTAACTGTTACTCATTCAAAGATGACCCTCAGTTAACAAAGGTCTGGCGAATTACTAAAGTTGATTTAAACAGACTAATTCAAGGTTGCGTTTGCCAGTAGAGAGTGCAATAAACGTAGTGACAACTGTGTTCGAAAGCGAGACTTACTGAGAGTGGTCCTGAGGGTAAAACAGGTGGGAAATACACGTCTCTCCTGAGATTCTACAAGCGCGGTGGATTTGAATATTATGTAGCGTAATATGAATTAAAACGGGTTTTTAGGAATGACAATGAGGTGCGCAGCACACTATGATCAAGAGCCTTGACGAATTGCTTCATGATACCAAGTTTTATGTGCAGAGGAGGAAGGACAATGTTTTTCCTGTCAACCAAAGGATCGTTAATGATATTCTTGTCACCAGGCGTCAAACTATGTCTTGGTGGCCAATTCTTTTTCACCCAATGGTCTGTTGTAGCCCTGCTGTCCCAGTAGCACAGAAAACAGGGATATTTTGTGTACCCTCCTTGCTGGCCCAATAGAAAGTTTACCATTTTCAAGTCCACACAAATTAACCATTCATGAGCATGGTATTGCAACCTCTCTAGAACAGTCTTAATGTTTTCATACTCTTCTTTAATTTGTACAGAATGTCCGATTGGAATTGAACCATACTTGTTTCCGTTATGAATAAGAACACATTTCAAGCTCCTTTTAGAACTGTCAATAAAAAGTCTCCAATCCTTACTATCATATGCTGGTAGTCCCATGGAGAGAAGAAGTCCTTCTACATCATTACAAAAAACAAGCTGGTCATATGAATGAAAGTACTTCCGCAGTTGCTCTTCTCTGTTGCGATAAAAGGAGACACTCGTGCCAGGTTTTAAGAGTCGTTTCTCTTGAAGCCTGGAAGCTAACAATTCAGCAGACTGTTTTGGCAAATTTAGATCTCTGACCAGATCATTCAATTCTGACTGAGTAAACAACGTTGGCTTTTCACAATCTTCACCAGATGGCTTGAAAAGATCAGTCTCTTCATCTTCATCAGTAGAAACAGGTGAATTCCGGTCTATATCCTCAATCTCTGGTAGCTCAGTAAATTCTGGCACGTTACGTGATGGAGCAAATCTGAGATCAGATTTGGATTCAGCACCTTAAAGTTAGTAAAAAACAGTTAAAAGGTTTCATGCCAGATAAAAAAAATATTTTTTTGTAGACCAGTGTAATCGGCACCTGTTACAGTTCACACATGCAAACTCCTAAGCTGCCCACGTCCGCTTTATATACGCCTCGTCAAACGCTTCTCGAACCTCCTAGAATAACCCAGTGACGCCTGCGAGATTCTAGAACGTTCTACTCTGATCGAGGCTTACAATCATAACAAAAATGATGCAATACATTCTAGAATATTCTTACATAATTAATACATCAATATCATTAATATACTGTATACACGAAAATTTCACTAAATTTGTCCAAATAACTGTTGCTGAAAACAATCAAAATACACTACCTAGTTTAAAAAATTTCAATACGAAATTATGCCTCGGTATAACAGAATTTATTTATTTCCCCAGAGTAGTATATTTCCTATCGCCTCTGATCATTTTAAATGTATATTAATGTTATTTTGAGTCACTGAAAACCAGGCCTTTTCTACCATAGACTGATGAGGTGTGAAAAGATGATGAAGAGGCTGGTGGTGATATTTACGTCGCTGGTGCTCGTAATTCTGTTGACGCTATTCTATCAGCTGCGCTTTGTGTCAATCACTGGCTTCATCCCGTCATTGAAACTATGGCTACATCAACGATCATCACAACACACTTACGGTGAACACCCAACCTTTGATGAAAGATGTTACAAGTACCACAAAAACCTTACTGCTGAGAACAAATGTTGTAAGATGGTCAACTTCTCAGGTTCTGTGGGTCTGATACACAAGTGCATAAGAAGCGCCAACGATCAGTTGTTGAGGGATGAGAGGCAAGTAGTTATGACAGTGTAATGGTCTTATATTACCATATTCAATGTTATTCATAGCACCTAAATATCAGCCATTTTATATTCTTACAGGGTATTTCAGTCAAATCTCCATTAACTTGTTGAAAAAGAAAACTTAGGCAGAAGGAACCAACTCATTTACCAATACTTCCTAAGATTGTAGCAGGTTTCACACGCACACGCACTCTGTATGAAATAAATGACTACTTAGTATAACAGAGAAAGCATGAACATATCAGTATTTAGATATTTCAGGTCATATATTTCAATCATTTGTGTTGAATAGTATGCTAGCTGCTAGTACAGGAGGGTGAAGCCTGGGGACGGAGGGAATGATTCAGAGGTGGTTGGTTATAGGGACGCACAAGGTAATAAAATCTGGTCCACAAAACCCCTTAGACTTTAACATCAGGGCATGAAACGTCTTACTAAGGACCGAAATAGGTGAAGCGGAATGTATGGCAGTTAAGTGATATATATTATTTACAGATTTCATGCAAGTGAAGGCGCTGACGAAGGTGGCGGTGTCGTTGATGTTACTGAAGGTGGTGTTGCTAGTGGTGGCACAGAGCCTGCCAGGGGCCAGCACTGGGTAATCTTCGGTGACTCCCACATGCGCTACATCTTGGTGTCCTTCCTCACACGCCTCAGGAGTCCGTCTCTGGAGTACCGAATACCTGTTGATGATGTGAGTTATTTTCATGCCTTGAAGTGAAGTGCTGTCACAGCGAATTGTAATGAGACAAAACTCACAAGAAGAAGATTACATATAGGTAGAATATTGATAGTATAAGAGTATAAAAGAGAGGAAGACTTTGGTAGCATGGCCGTGATAGTTATTTACACTTATCGTATCTTATACGTCAATACACATTTATTACGTCTTAAGGGCGACTTCTCAAACACCGCTTTGTTACAACTCTTTATTAATTACGACAATGACATGGACACATTAATAACACCTTCTATTGAAGTTACTAGGACATTATATTTACGTTACTAGGACATCATATTACGTTACCAGACACTCTGATTCTCGGACACGAACATGAAATGAATACACTTCCCACGTAAGTAACTCATCCCATGGAAAGCTCTGACAAACACTCACGTGACCTAGGGGAGGCCTAGCTGGTCGCCGGAGGGAAGTCTCGGTCCTCTCTGCCTCCTCTCGAGCGGGCCTGGTGGTGTAGTAGCTGGCCCTTCCTCGTCACATTCCACACTCTCTCTCTGTCCCTCTCTGGCTCTCTGTCTCCGGGTATCTCTGAGGGAGGACTGCTTAGCGGGGACACTGGTGTCGGGTGGGCGACTGCTTAGCTGGGACACCGGAGGGAAGTCTCGGTCCTGACCGGAGGCGACTTGCCTCCGGCCCCTGACTTCGGCTCGAACAGGCCTGGTGGTGTCGTAGCTGGCCACCTTGTTACAAGACAACTCTCTCTCTGCGAAAATCCCTGAGGGAGGACTAGGACGTCCTATATATTGGGATGCGAGCCGTCAGGTTCAGCTGGTCGGGGGGGGGGGGCGGCGAAGGGTCTCCTTACATTTGACCTGGCCAATGTGAGGTCAGGTCTGGACTCCTTCAGAAACCACAAGTCTTATCTTCTGGGAAAGTCATCAGGTGGGGCCGTGTGTATATTGGGAGAGAGCCGGCCGGTGCCCCCTTACATGTGTGACATGGGAGGGGAGCCTGGCCGACCTACAATCCTCGGTCAACAGCAGAGTCACCCTATACTTTTGACCTCCCTAATGTCGGGTCAGACTGGAGTTTCTGAGATGTAAGTTGTACTTTCTGGAGAAGTCATCAGGTGGGGCCGTGTGACATGAGAGGCCCTGGTTGATTTGTGGCCCCTTGAGTTGGGCTCCGAGGGTTACATTTGACCTGGCTAATGTGAGGTCAGGTCTGGACTTTGTTCAGGGATGTAGGTTATTGTATATTGGAAGAGAGTCGGCTGGTGCCTTCTTACATGTTTTGTTGGGGCCACATGTCACATGGGAGGGGAGCTAGGCTGATTTACAATCCTTGGTCAACCGCAGAGTTACCCTATACTTTTGACCTCCCTAATGTCGGGTCAAGTCTGGCTTTCCTTGCGATGTAAGCTGTGGTCTGACAACCCATCACTACAGAATGCTTTTGTCAGTGGTATACAGTTGCGGGGAAATGTGTCCCTACACCCCCTGTGTCTCCACACGGCCAACCTATATGACCTACTAGTTCTACAGTATAGCAAACCTAACCACCAATCACGTCGGTCGTTATACGACCAAAACCCATAAATTCATAAACAGTAACACTACTACTGCGACGTTGCTGTTTGGAGGCAAGGGTCACCACAAGGGGTGTAGGACATTTCTGCAACTGTACCAGTGGCCTATCCTTATCAGTTGCTTTGGTTATCAGCATTTATATATATATATATATATATATATATATATATATATATATATATATATATATATATATATATATAAATGCTGATAACCACAAGGAAACAAGAAAATACGAAGTTCCCAAGCGCTTTCATCAATTACACGACAGCGCTTGGGAACTTCAGGGGTTACGGAGGTCACCACCACTGTGATGCGCTCACCTCTTCCCTCCCAGACCAGATATCCCTCCTCCTAGTCACAGGCCTGGCATTTGACATTATTAGGGACCTGCCACTCTTTGCCATAAACAGATAAAATGTACCGGGAACTTTCCCCCCACACACTCATCATTCTCTCACTTTATGTAACTTGACAGAACCTATGACCCTTCAGGCTTTTACGCCCTTAATGTACGAGTCATAAATTCAAGTATGAACTTTTCATACTTCCCTGTTGGGCGCTGTAAACGCTTGTGCGCTTCACCTTGCACAGGATGTAAGGGGGTGCCCAATAAACTAGCCCCCTCGGGGGCAAATCTGAATCTGATTACTGTATTCAGATTTACTCTCCACTCTCCTCCTCCCTTCTTCAACAGCCTGTGTGTGGATTCTTGATTTCTCCAGTGCAAGTCTCTACCTATTATCAGCTGCCTAACGGCTAAATGATCTTTGTGTATTTTACCCTTTTCAGCCTTATTTACTACTTTGATACTTATATATGCTACTTAGTTGATATTTATGTTATTATGTGACTTACGTGCTCTTGCCAGTGAACCTTTATCATTACGCCTCATTTATGAGTGATTACTGCGGTCCGACTAATTACCCAAATGCACCCAAATGTAGCAAAATGTAGCCGCAATGAAGTCAAATAATGGTCCTACATGAATAAATCGGATTGCTAATCACTTCTCGACTAGTATTTGGTGTCACAAAGTCACAAAAAATTGGAAAACTTACTTTAATCCGAGTTAATAGATCGCGTGCATGTACCGAGGGAGCGAGTAATTACCCACATGTAGCCGCAATGAAGTCAAATGATGGTCGTACAAGCGTAAATCGGGCTGTGAATCACTTCTCGATTATTATTTGGTGTAATAAAGTCACAAAAAATTGGTAAACTTAATTTTATCTGAGTTGTGTTAGGTTAGGTTAGGTTAGGTTAGGTACATGCACTTGATCTATTAACTCAGATTAAATTAAGTTTACCAATTTTTTGTGACTTCGTGACACCAAATATCAGTCGAGAAGTGATTGGCAGTCCGATTTATTCATGTAGGACCATTATTTGACTTCATTGCGGCTACATTTGGGTACATTTGGGTAATTAGTCGGACCCGTGATACTGTAATGACCACAAGAGCCTTACTTATGTACTCTTATGAGCACCATTACACGGGACCATCATCACAGTGCTCTTACTATTGAGTCTATTTTACCATTTACTTCTTTAATTTCTTGGGCACCTGACAGGCGACTTGTCATGACTTTTGATGCATATTTAACTACCCTCCCCTATTTAAAATCCAAGAATTACATACTATTACCTTTCTGATACTTAAATTTAATGGGAACACACTGCAATTTGTTCAAGAGAGGATTTTCTAATTAACATCTTACAAACATATTTCACTACGTGTTTATCTCTTCGACGTGTAAGATTTTTTTTTTATATCCCAGTTATTAACACATGTGCCAATAAGGTTAAAAAAATAAATTTGTGTGGATCCCCTGTGTCATATGCTTCTGCCTGACCAGCAGTAGTAATTGGAAACGTGGATGCAGATGAATTTCAGGATTATTTTCCAACGGTAAACGCTGCTGCAGTTGCCATATTACTCTCCTAGGCTTTCCTGACTGTGGGTTCTAGAGCTTACCAACTGGGACTGTTGTGTTGGCATCTGGTTTTATATCTCATTAAGTTTCTGTCCAGGTAGCCTATACTTGCCAGCCCTCCTTGATCGTATGTGGCAACCAATATACTGTATATACATAACGTGTATTACATGTTTCTTATTTTAACAATTTTCCCCAACACACAGAAAGGCTGGAAAAGTGTAGCTCCAGCAGAAAAGACTCTTCACAATGACAAACCATTTAAAAACATTGAAGTGCGAGACCTGAGCGTTAATCTGAATATTACCTTCTACTGGGACGTGCACTTGATGAAGCATTTGCCGCAAGAGATGATCAAGTGGGAGCAGCAGCCACACCACACACCCTCGCTAGTACTCCTCGGTCAGTCATCATCTTACCTTCCTCTTTATTAGTTTAGTTATCTTCAGTGTTATTTGTTTTTCATTTAAGAGCGACACAGACTCTTCCTCGTGCCAGTCGGTCTTTATGGTTGCCTGAGCAGATGTGGTCTGGAATGATGTCCATCTTCCACAACAAGTATCCGTCTAGTCACCTAGTGTATATCCTTGTCACTTCACACACCGCCCCAGCATCATGCCTAACCACAAAAATTACCTAACGCCATACTTTTGCACTGCATACGCACAGCTTCTTTCTGGATGTACAGTCTCGAACAGAATTCCCTGGGCCTAGACACTGTTAGACTTGTGGGAATAAGAATAGCGAGACGCGAGTGCTTACCGTATGCAAGGTCTATATAGACTTAGACCTTATGGAGGAGGGGCCTGCTCATGCAACACACACACCAGTCTCCTTTTTTATGTCATTTTGTTTATTATTTCCTCATTTCTTCCCTTTCTCTTCGCCGCAGTATTCATAGTAAGTAAAATTTTTAATAAAAAATAAAAATAAAATAATAATAATAATAATAATAATAATATTAATAATAACTCTGTAATTTTAATAATAATACTAATAAGGAACCATAAATACAAAAATTTAAAAAAGATCAAAAGTGAGAAACAATTGAGACCTGCACCGTAATTGTGTGTAAATGAGGCAGAAAGTCAGATCAGCAACCTGAGACTTGGTCACAATTTTCGTGATGCCATATGGCAGCAGGGTCTACCATTAGACAACAATTATGCTTCCAATATCTTCCCAGGCGGTAGTACCTCCCAGTTTGGTAGCTGCCTACTACCTACTACCAATGGAAGTCGGTCACACTAGAAGAGCCCGTTATAGTACGTCCTTCTTTCTTCACACAACCAAATTGTGGAATGCTCTGCTAGCTTCTGTATTTCCACACTCATACAATGTCTCAAAGCTAGTTTTCCGGCATCTTCGTGGTGTAGATTAATAGGCTTTTACTCTTCTATTTCAATTCGTTTTACCCTTATTTTTTCGCCACCCCCCAGGCGCTTTAGTGTTTTCGATGACCTGTGCCCGGGTGGGCTATTCTTAAAAAAAAAAAAAAAAAAAACACCGGTCCCTCTGGCATCAGTGGGGTAACTAGTCATTTGATGTCATAACTCCTGTCACCTAACGCTACATTATTATTATTATTATTATTATTGTTATTATTATTATTATTATTATTATTATTATTATTATTATTATTTTTATATATATATATATATATATATATATATATATATATATATATATATATATATATATATATATATATATATATATATATAATAGTTCCCATTAGAGGTTCACGGCTCCATAAGCTCGTTGAACAGGCTTTGTGTGAAATATAACAGTCTAGGATTACTTTTAGTATCCCAGTGGTCCAGAGGTAGCGTTCCCCGGTCACAGTCATGGGCTTGTGAACCGTGGGTTCGAATCCTGGCGGGGTGAGGTGTTGATTGTATGTAGAAGTCTGTGTGCTTTGTTGGGCTAATGAAATATATATATATATATATATATATATATATATATATTTCATGTAGATCCACAATGAAAACGTGGATAAGATATATCTTGATAAAATCACACGTGTCATTTTATCAAGATATATATATATAGATATATATATATATATATATATATATATATATATATATATATATATATATATATATATATATATATATATATATATATATATATATATATACAGGGAGGAAAGGATATCCTGTAGGTAACTGTACATATAGTATAAGGGCCTGTGCCTCTTATAACAATTTTCTTTACTTTAATACTTACAACCATTGGTAGCGTGACGAGAGGAGGCTCGTGGTTATATGTAATGATAGTATCAAGTAATAGGGAAGAAATAACGGTAGATACTGTAGGTAAATAGCAGACACAATATACAAATACAATATTTATTTAAACATTAAAATGGAGGTAGGAGAAGAATATATGTACCAACAGACGAAACCTGGTACTATGCCCTCAGGCTCAAAATACTCACACCACTACTGGGTGGACATACTCAATAACACTCACACCACTACTGGGTGGACATACTCAATAACACTCACACCACTACTGGGTGGACATACTCAATAACACTCACACCACTACTGGGTGGACATACTCAATAACACTCACACCACTACTGGGTGGACATACTCAATAACACTCACACCACTACTGGGTGGACATACTCAATAACACTCACACCACTACTGGGTGGACATACTCAATAACACTCACACCACTACTGGGTGGACATACTCAATAACACTCACACCACTACTGGGTGGACATACTCAATAACACTCACACCACTACTGGGTGGACATACTCAATAACACTCACACCACTACTGGGTGGACATACTCAATAACACTCACACCACTACTGGGTGGACATACTCAATAACACTCACACCACTACTGGGTGGACATACTCAATAACACTCACACCACTACTGGGTGGACATACTCAATAACACTCACACCACTACTGGGTGGACATACTCAATAACACTCACACCACTACTGGGTGGACATACTCAATAACACTCACACCACTACTGGGTGGACATACTCAATAACACTCACACCACTACTGGGTGGACATACTCAATAACACTCACACCACTACTGGGTGGACATACTCAATAACACTCACACCACTACTGGGTGGACATACTCAATAACACTCACACCACTACTGGGTGGACATACTCAATAACACTCACACCACTACTGGGTGGACATACTCAATAACACTCACACCACTACTGGGTGGACATACTCAATAACACTCACACCACTACTGGGTGGACATACTCAATAACACTCACACCACTACTGGGTGGACATACTCAATAACACTCACACCACTACTGGGTGGACATACTCAATAACACTCACACCACTACTGGGTGGACATACTCAATAACACTCACACCACTACTGGGTGGACATACTCAATAACACATAAACTCTTATAGTAACTTAGCACCATTAAGACCAGGGGCAACTGCCACTACAACACTCAGTCGTCAGGAGTGATACTCAAGCAACCGCCATGGGGTCCTGCCACCATGGAGTACTTTCCAACAAACTCTGAAGATCCCAGTGGAATAACACAACCACACCATAGCCCTACTGAGTTAGACACTCATCCACCACTGATGGGGGCTGGTAGCTGTGTGTGGTTTGGTGATCCGGGGTCACCTCGCGGGCCGAGCGTTAGGGTCAGACGGCCAGCTATGGGGCCCATAGGTAGTCTGAAGTGTCTGACGGTCGGATCTCACGAAGATAACTGATCCTACTGGACCTCGGACATCTCTCCTGACATAGCGGATACAACATCCACGCTACAGACATGGCCTAGGCTGTGTTAGGGACCTGTATGGGTGAAGGGGCGAGCACTTACTAACGGTTGAAATGCCCGCGGCACCCTCACTCAAAATAGGCCAGGGAGTCCACCTACTTCTATTTCGATGAATTACTTTACTGTACACTCTGACGTTGAAACTGAGACTATGAACTCAGTTTCATTCCCTACTATTATCTTCACTAACAATGCTCTAACTGAGCTATCAAAAGCAAAAATTAAATTGATTACAAAGGGTTGGATTGCAACAGGTCCCAACATACAGCGTCTTGCTACGAAATCCGCGGATTATATTCAAAGTTCCCTTCCGACAAAGACGGCCTCTCGACGACGTCATCAAGGAAACAGAGAAAATGGGGACGTTTCCACTGGGGGACTCAGAAGGTTTTGTGGACTTTTGAGCGTAATATGAATCCTTAAGGTTCTTAGGTTAGCCGTCATCACGATCATGACAATAGTTATAATTTACCTATCGTAAACTGCACTTATTTAAATACATAGATAGAACTGAAATGCATTGTTTTTCTTTTGAACTTTCGTTCTCTGGTACTTCATATACAGGAATATTCTGTGTCACCCACTGCACTGATTGGTGTCCTTAACTAGATATATGCAAGATTAGACACTCTATTAGTATTATATTTTCTATTAGTATTATTTTCTCACGTGAGCTACTGAGATAACAAAACATAGTATATAGAACCATAAATTATTCTGTTTACAGTATAAGGGGTGAGAGGTAGGCGAGGGAGCGCGGGAGTTTACCCACTGACGTCAGCCAAGCTCCATCCACCTAAACCTATACTGTACAAGTGTACAGCATGCTGTATCCACACTGTTCCTATCGAGCACTTATTCCTATGGGGCCTACTTTCACTTTTAATAAACCACTAACACATCAAAACATATCAAAGTTTGGTCTAGATGACGTAAGCAGTACTGAAAATGATCCGCTTCAGATCATTTTCATTACGGGTTACGGTATTCAGATTTTTTTAATATCATTGAATTTGCCTTAAGGAAAATTTGAGGCTAGAACTAGAGAACAGACAATGGCAAATCATGACACTTTATAGACTACGTAGTAATGATACAGTTCATTATATATAATGTGGAAAGCACATAATTATAAACTTCTAATACCAGAAAGTGATAAACAGTCCATATCCTCCACAGGGACTGCGTTGTGGTGGATGAAGGACAACGAGGCCATATACGTGAATTTTGGAGCGAAGGCAGCCGCCGACTTGTATGAGGATTACCTCAGGATCCTTCGAGACCGACTCTCCCGCCTTGCTAAGACCACCACCGTTATCTTCAAGCTCGTCGACGACGTACCGGTAGTGTGTCGTTTCATATAAATATTTTAGACGAGTTGATGTAGTGTGTATAGACTCACTGGTGTTTTTTATAGTAACCGATAATTTATAGTGTCTTGTCGGATCGTGGGTAGTTTGTAGTGTTTTCCTGATGCTGTGTGAGAATCTGAAGAATGCATGTTGTTGTTTTATATGAAATATCACGTAACCCTACAGTTTCTTGAGGATGTGAAGTGTTGTGTCGTGTTTAGTCTTTCTTGTTTTAAAGGTGAATTGTTGTGTTTTGTTTACTAAACGTTGTTCTAGAAGGTGAAGTGTTATGTTGTGTTGTGTTTACTTAATGTTAGGGTTATGCCGAGACATAATTGGGGATTAAAATATTTGTAAATTAGGTGTTTTGATTATTTTCTCTTCCAAGCAACAGTTATTTTGGCCATTTTAGGGAGATTTTTGTGTATATATTTTCTAGAATGTATTGCATCATTTTTTATGATTTACTAACGTATTGTAAGGCTCGATCAAAGTAGAACGTTCTAGGGCTTCTCGGGTGTGTCTCGTTCCGACTTACAAGTCCCGGGTGGTGCTAGCAGTGTCTCTCTAACTGGGGGCCATGGCAGGCTAGTGTAAGTAGTATGTTTGGAGAAAATGTGGAAACTCTGATTCAACTTTTTTTTGTTACTTTGCCTTGTTAGGGGAGAAATCTATTTGTTTTTATTTGGCTTTTTTTGTCATTGTGTGTAATCATAATACTCATACGGTACAATTTTGATATTTACATAGTATGGTGCAGCAGTTAGTTTTTCATTTTCAACGGATTCGCTCATATTGCACAATTCTAGATCCTGTTCAGACGAATTCCTTGATCTCAGAACGATTCTGCTGCCAGAGACCTCTATGAAGAAAAATCTCTGACTGTATTCTGGTGCTCAATGTATCAGTCATATCCAAAAGTTAGTGAGATCGCACTTCGAGTCCTCTTGCCATTTTCTACTACTTATTTATGTGAATCTGGTTTCTCCACCTTCTTCAAATAGAGAATAAAAGCCGAAACCTGTTACATGTGTACCAGACATGAGATGTGCTTTATCAGTGACTCAACCTCGAATCAGTCGACTAACTGAAAGGAAACAATGTCACCCATCCCATTGAACTGTAACAAAATATGCATTCTGTTTGATGATTGAAAACATTAAAATAAAGGAAGAGAACCAAAACGGTTTATTTTCATCATTATTTGTGAGGGGCTTGGGAGAGAACTGAAGGGGGCCACGAGGATGTTGAGAGTTCCTCATGGGGGGAATGGAGTGAAAAAGTTTGAAAAACACTGTGCGAGGGTGTTCTAGGATCGTCTGATGAGTTATATAAGCGGCAGCCCACTACAATTCCCTTTCTAATCTCCTGCTCCTTCCTCTGTCATCTTCCCCGCTCTGCCTTTCGCTACCAACAACTTTTGGAGCGTCTAAACTTGGAATGGAACCTACGGGGATCAGTTGATCGTTTCTACACAGAGTGTGAAGTACAAGTCTGCTGACGAAATAATTGTTGTGCAAGTATTGTGGAATTGGTGTGAGCAATTTAAAGTGAAAGACTAAGGAATTGTATGCTGACTATATATATTAGCGAAGTGAGAAGCCCAACTGTGAAGACATTCCTTGAGAGCAGATTTTTGATGATCTAGTAATTATTAACGACTACAGTTGACAAGTGTGTTTCTGTGACCCGGTGGAAATCTACCTGCCTGTTGTTTGTCTGTCCACTGATACCGATCGTCGGGGAATTACCGGAAACTGGCGGGCCAGCCAGTGGTAATTCGACGACACTTGTGATATATCTACTGCTTCCGGAAACTGTATACTATTTGGTTGCTGGTAAGCGGCGAAAAGGAGAGTTGTAACATTATTTTAGGGGCTGAAGTGTTGTGTTGTATTTACTTTTTTTTTTAGAGCTGAAGTTTTGTGTCGTGTTTACTTATTCTTGTTAGTGGATTTAATATAATAATAATAATAATAATAATAATAATAATAGTAATAATAATTAACGGTTTATTGAAAAAGTTCTGCAGCCCGAGGGCTGAAAATATACATTGGACAAAAATGACTTATTACATACAAAGACATGGGGTGGGTGAGTCGTTTAACAAAAGCTTTCATTACTGAAAGAAGAAGGAACATGAATTGAACATACAAATTATTATAGTTTACAGTTGATGACCCGGGCCTGGACTGGTCATGGAGACACCAGGTGGTGTGGTGTTCATGTGGTGTAGTAACTCGTCCTCAGGTGTTGATATGAAGGACCTCACGTGGTCATGGGGACACCTGGTGGTATGGTGTACACATGGTGCAGTAACTCGTCCTCGGGTGTTGATATGAAGGACCACACGTGGTCATGGGGACACCGGGTGGTGTGGGGTGGTGTCACAGTACCCCACCCTCTGGGTGGTGTTGTGTTATTTCGTAGTCAGGTGTGAAGCCGACCCACTGGAATTCCCAGGGTGGACTGATTTGCACCTCCTGGTCAGAAGATGGTGGTCAGTTCCCAGGGGTGCTTATCTCACTGGTGGGTCACGGCTCTCACTGATACTGTCTCGTGCTGAATTCACTGTCTTAAACATTGTTCATCACTGTTCAACACTGGTCCCACTTCTTTCCGAAACGAAATTGTCACTTTTGATTATGTTGATATCCCGGTGGTGAGGATGGGTCGGGGAGAGGGACTTGGGGAATGGGCCGAACATTGGCCAAGGGGGGCAGCTGCTCAGCAGGAGCAGCGCCTGAATAGGTCTTGACCTTACGGTGGTCAGGGATGTAGTGTGTAGTGTCTTGTTCTTGGATCATATACGTAGCACTTTATGGTTTTTGTTAGAGTATCTTATTCAGTGTGGTGTCTCGTTATTATTACTATAGAACCTTATGAATATGTGTAGTGTCCTTTTTAAAGAATCTATGGGTGGTGTGGGTTGTGTCGGCCGAGCGGATAAGTGCTTGCTTCATATTTTAAAGGTCTCTGGTTCGATCCCAGTGTTATCTTATCCACCTAGCTGTAAATGGGCACATACTGTACTTAGGCACAGTTTTTTTTTTGTTACGACTCCCCAGACGTACGGAAGCCAAGTTTACACTGCAAACTACACACACACACACACCCCGTGGCGCTACATCTGGTACCCTTACAACAAACACTTGCCTTCATTATTTTGCTTGCTCATCATCACATCACATCACATTACTATTACAAAAACACAACAACACACACACACACACACACACACACACACACACACACACACACACACACACACACACACACACACACACACACACACACAGCTCCCATAAAAATACACACAAGCCCCACAAAAATACACACAGCTCCCTGAAGTCTCCCCGTTCGGGAAGGGAAGACAGTCTGTCCAGTACCGACCACGTTGTCTTCTTATGTATATAGGGCTTGTTATCCTGTGAACTGTATCTACATTGTCCTTTATGGGCAGACATGCCTATGGGACTAAACTTTCACCTTCATATTATCAATTTTTATAATGTTATTACTGCGCTTCAACAACTATCGAGTCTTTAAGTGGGTGACAAGGTTAGTATAATTACACTAGTCCAACATTAAAAGAATTATGGGGGAACTCACTAGGTATACAGTATTATCCAACGAGTACTACGGTATTCTTTTTTTTTTTTTTTTACGGGGAATAGCCCACCCGGGCACAAGTCATCGACCCACAACAGGGCTTAAGTATTCGCTCTAGCACGTTACTGGTGTTAGATCTAATTCTATAGTATTTTAACTTTCACTTCAGAGAAGCAGCAACCAATCAACACCATAACCTTTTAGTATTTGTACGACAAATTTTGTAAATAATTATTGTATATGTAAAGGTTTTAAAGCCGAAAATTTATGGTAAAAAACTAAATTATTTCAGAGAACCAGGAATCCGAAATCGAAGACAGCTTTCGGCGTCAGGAACAATTTTGTCCTTTACAATCAGCTGGCGGTGCAGGAGCTGGGAAACACAGGAGTGATCATCTGGAATAGTACAGTGCCACTCTCCTTGGCTTACACCAAAGAGTGTACGAAGAACTTCAGGAACACCCCACCCTGGTACCAATGGAAGTGTGAAGATCAAGGCCATGTGGGGTACATCCTTGTTTATCAGTATGTTGACATGGTCCTTAATGATTTTTGTGGGAAATACTTAAATCTGGGGCACGAGTTTTGTACTTAAAGCATAACAACATCTACTTTTGGGGGGGGGGGTAAGCACTTGGTAGTACTGTATGTATTTTTGTGCCATAATATTCTACAGATGGTCTAACTTCCTCACCATTTAAACATTTATTATTTGTATTGTGAAGTGTGAATAGTTATATAACACTGAATACGCGATTGATTATGCAACTTTCGAAACAGTGCAATTCTCAAAAGTCGAGAGCTTGAATATTTGTTTTGTTCACACAATGTTCTGTATATACGTGTGCATATTTTGTACACTTGCGTCTGCGTGAGAAACGTGAGCATTGCATAAATTTGGGTCACCACAACCCCTGCTAACCCCCCCTCCCCCCCTCCAGCCTTTCCAAAACTCGGGGAGGCAGCAGTGCCCTTACAGATTCCGGACGTAGTATACAGTATTTTATGTTCTGCCCTGAACTCTTGTCTGCCACCTTTCCCTGTTTATACAACTGTTTACCGTATTTCTGGAACAACCTCCCGTTTCAAGACTGTTTTTACTATTATTGTTGTTATTAGCTTGTATTGTGACTGTAAATTATGGAACTGTATATTTTCAGCCTTCTGGCTACTATGCTCTTTCAATAAACCGTTAATTACTATTATTATTATGATTATTATTATAAATGATGAGTGAGTGAATTATTATTCATATTTAGATGACTATCGTGTACAATTGGAGAAATAAATTATCTAAGATTGTTAGCCTTTAATATGCATAGTCTTATCTTGACTTTCTCTTGATATTTGTCCTCAATCTTCCGTTTGTCTAAACTTACACGAGTTCCTAAAATATTTACATTAAATGTATAGGCCTACATTACTTTTGAGGTAAGTCTGAACCTTAGTAAGTATATATGTTAAAAGTATCAAGATTCTCTCTGATAAGAACCCATTGATGATGATGATGTGATGGAGAGAAGAGAGCCATTCGCTCAGGAAGGTGGAAGACGGTGTAGGAAGAAGGTAAAAGTTAGGAAGTGGGAAACAAAGAGAGAGATTTGATAGCAGGTAGGCTATCCACCTTGCGGGGACCGGGTTAAGTCTGCCATGTCAGCATTTCCGCAGGTCCACTATGGCAAGGAAAGACAAGCTAAACTAATCTAAGCTAAGGTAGTTCATGGTGTTGGGGAGGGGGGCCCTCCATGTCCTTTGAGTCTCTTGGTTTTCATTTTGTATATATTGGTTCTGGTTCTGTGTCGTCGTATGTTATGCTCTTTGGCCACCAGTTGTGTGTTCTGGTAATGTCTTCTTGCGTTAATTGCTGGAGTATGGGGTCTTCTAGTTCTTGTAGCGTTTCCCATATTGCTAATGCTTGATTATGTGTTCTGATGTTGATTGTGATAAGGTTAGGTTGTGTGTGTAGCTCGCTGGCAGTTTTTGTATATGGTGGTCTGAGATTTTCTGCTCTTCTGAGGGCTACGTTTTGGACTGCCTGTATTTTAAGTTTATTAGGTTTTGTTATAGTGTTGAGTGGAATTAGGGGATATTCCAGGTGTGATCTGACTAGTGCTTTATAAAGGTGTTGTTGTGTATTGGTGTTTAATTTACGGAATCTTCTGAGTTTAGCTAGTCGGGTCTTGGCTTTTGCAATTCTTTCTTTGGTATGTGGGCGTATACCGTTCCTTGTAATTTTGAGGCCAAGGACTTTACCATTTTCTGCATATGATATATTTGATTGTTGACCATGATTGGGTAGGGTCTGGTTTTAGCTTTTTTATTTATCTTCAGTTTTTTAGTGTTTGTTTTGATTTTCCATCTCCTTTCGTAATTATTTATGGTTTCTATTTCTCTGCCTGTTCTGATTGCCATCATTTGTTTGGATTTCCTTGGGTATTGTGTGATTTGGGTTACGTCGTCTGCATATGCTCTGTACTCTGAGTTTCTTGGTTTGGGCATGTCCTCTGTATCTATGGTGTATAGTGTTGGTGATATGTTGCTGCCTTGAGATACTCCACTATAAAGGGTGAAGCTTTGTCCTATGTAGTTGTCGATGACAAGTTTGGATTGTCTGTTGTCAAGGAAGTTGCAGAGGAGAGCCGTGATGTTGGGTGGCATGTTCAGGTCGATGATCTTATATTCTAGCCCTTCATGCCATACTTTATCGAAGGCTTTGCTGACATCTCTCAGTACTATGTTGCATTGGTTTCTGTTGCTGGCTGCATTTGCGTTGGATTCGTATATTAAGTTCAGTATTGCTGGATATGACTCATTTACGAACCTAACTCAAGAATCCTGCAGGAGGGGTGTGGTTATCTACGCTAGGCAAGACCTTAGAGCCAGCCAGGCGAGGGTACAGGGAGAGGATGTCTTTGAAGAGTCCAAGTGGTGTAAAATTAAATTAAAGGGAGGGGACTTACTTATCGTCGGGTGTATCTACAGATCCCCGAACTGTGGCCCACTAAATCAAAGGAACTTAAGAACCTTAATAAACAATGCGGCGATGCTCAACCCCAGCCACCTCCTTATCATGGGGGACTTTAACTATGGCGACATCGACTGGAGAAACGAGTCAACCCCGAATGACTTGAATAATCCTGCTACTCTTTTTGTAGAAACTCTGAGAGATAATTTTCTGTTCCAACATGTGAGAGACCCGACACATTACAGAGGGGAACAAACACCCAAGCCACTTGACCTCATCATAACAAACGAGGAGGGTATGGTGGCCAAACTGGAACACCTTGCCCCAGTTGGCACCAGTCACCATACAGTGTTGTCATTCAGATTTAACTGTTACCTAGTTCAAGATAAGGCCAGGCCAAGGTGCAAATATTACAAGGGAAATTACAATGGGATGAGGGAAGAGATGAGGGGTATCAACTGGCCTGACTTATTAAGGTACAAGAACGCAGACACTACGCTGAATATCATAACTAGTAAAATGACCCATTTGATCGATAAATATATACCCAAGACCAAACCCAGTGCTTCTAGGAATACGAGGGGATCCCTACACATGAACCATGCGGCGGTCGACAAAATTAAGAAGAAAACCCAGAAATTCAAGACGTGGGTTGGGTCAAACGATGAGCAAGACAGGAGGATGTATGCAAGAGCCAGAAACCAAGCAAAGATAGAGTGTAGGAGGGCTGAAAAGGAGTTCCAAAGGCTGGTTGCACGCGAGGTCAAGTCAAACCCAAAGGCGTTTTACCGCTATGCAAAGTCGAAATTGAAAACGCGAGTAGGAGTATCAGACCTGAGGCTTGAAGATGGTAGTTACGCAGATTCTGACCAGGATAAAGCTGAGGCATTGAACAGCTTCTTTTCCTCAGTGTTCACAAGAGAGGATGCAACTAACCTTCCTGCGTTTGAGGACAGACGGTTCGACACAGCACTGACCCACATTGTGTTCACAGAAGAGGGTATTAGAAATAAACTGTCCAGGCTAAAGGTCCATAAGAGTCCTGGACCTGACATGGTGCATCCTAGAGTGCTAAGGGAGCTGTGCAACGAGCTTGCAGAGCCCCTGAAGATTCTGTTTTGTAAATGCCTGGATGAACAAATGGTCCCCAGTGAATGGAAAGTGGCTTATGTGAGTCCTATCTTCAAGAAGGGCGATAGGCACTCCACGAACAACTATAGACCGGTGAGCCTGACCAGCATAATATGTAAAGTACTTGAGAGTATTATCAGAGATGCAGCGATGGAACATCTACTACGAAACAACCTTGTAAAAGATTGCCAACACGGTTTTATGCCGGGGCGCTCTTGCTTGACACAATTGCTCAAGGTATTGGATATTTGGACCCATATTCTAGAACGGGGTGGTAATATCGACAATATTTACCTAGATTTTGCCAAGGCTTTCGACAGTGTACCCCACGAAAGGCTGAAAATCAAACTGGAAGGGTACGGAATTCGGGGAAATGTCCTAGCGTGGATAGAAGACTTTCTACATGACCGCAAGCAATGTGTGGTGATTAATGGCACGAAATCGTCATCTGTACCTGTAACAAGTGGGGTACCGCAGGGTAGTGTATTGGGCCCGCTGTTGTTTGTTTGTTTCATAAATGATATGCCTGACGTTGTACACTCCTCCATACAAATGTTTGCCGATGACGCCAAGTTATTTCGGGAAATTAAGAACCAAGCGGACTGTGAAGAGCTGCAGAAGGACCTCTGTGGGCTCCAGGAATGGTCGAAGGAATGGCTGCTGAGATTCAATGTCACGAAGTGTAAGAGGATGCACCTGGGGCGTACCAACGGTAAGGAGGCGTACCATATGTCCCAACGGGATGAAGAAAATGTACTAGTTGAGACTGTGTGTGAGAAGGACCTAGGTGTGTATGTTGACAATGAGCTGAAGTTCTCGGGCCATTGTGAGAAGAAGGTAAATCAGGCAAATAAATTATTGGGTCTTATAAGAAGGTCGTTCAGATATCTAGACGGTCCGTCCCTCGTGACGATCTTCAGGAGTGAAGTGCTTCCCCATCTGGAGTACTGTCACCCCATCTGGTCCCCGAGATATGCTAGGGACTGTCAGTTGGTTGAAAATGTTCAAAGGAGGGCCACCAAGCTGGTGCCTGCACTTCGGCATCTCAGCTACCCTGCGAGATTGGAGCGCCTGAACTTGCCTAGCTTATACTACAGACGGGCAAGGGGGGACCTAGTTGAGGTTTATAAGCATCTCAGGGGGCACTACTCAGTTGAGTGTCCTTACTTGGAGCTGGCGGACGCTCGCCCCACAAGGGGTCACAGCTCAAGATTGAAGAAGCCGCAAGTCCGGAAAACCGTGAGGGCAAACTTTTTCGGAGTGAGGGTTGTAAACTCTTGGAACAATCTACCAGAAAGTGTTGTGACGGCACCGAGTGTGAGCTCTTTCAAGAGAAGACTTGACCAACACTGGAGCGGGTTCAGGTACATTCAGGAGCCGGTGCATGCCCAGTATTTGCCAACAGTGCGTGACAGAGACGTGACCGATCGCCCGGGCGGCTAGCGAGCCGACCTTTTGGTGAAGAATATAAAGGAAAAGAGTCGTGACCGATCGCCCAAGCGGCTAACAAGCCGATCAGTGGCGAAGAGGATAAAAGTAAAAGTAAGGCTATTGCAGTGTAGGTGCCTCGATGTCTGTGGTTGTATTTGTCTTCATACTCTAGGTGGTTTCTTTGTCTATGGTTTATTATTTTTTCTAGGATTTTGCCAGGTGTTTCGAGGAGTGATATGGGTCTGTAGTCTTCTGCCTGAGTTGGGTTCTTTCCTTGTTTTGGAATGAGTCTTATTTTTGCCATTTTAAATTTGGATGGGAATAATCCGCTTAAGATATCTGTAAGGTGTTTGATCATTGCCTCTGAAGATGTCTTGAATAAAGACGAAAGCTAAGGTACTCCGTTGTTTCCATTTTCCCGTGTGATTTTATCAAGATATATATATATATATATATATATATATATATATATATATATATATATGAGTACAGATCTGTACTCACCCCTGAAGATGTGAATTACACGAAAGCACTTGAGAACTTCGTGTTTTCTTCTTTCCTTGTATATTATATATATATATATATATATATATATATATATATATATATATATATATATATATATATATATATATATATATATATATATATTTGTGTTGTGTTGTGTTGTGTGTGTATGGATTCTTGAGGATTACTGTACTGGTATTCTTTACTAAAACAATCAATCATGGTTGAGACCTGTATTATATTATCAAATTTCCCGCGGTTCCCTGATGAATGGTGACAAAATGTAACCACTCAGTGTGCATAATAATTAAATACGTAATAATATGTGAAAGTATGAGATACTTTTCTATATTTCCTTCTGATAGTATAAGTATTGTTTTTAAGATATATATTATGTTTTTCTTAGAATCCTCAGAAAATGCTATATATTAGATATTATTATACAATGAGTGTTCGTAAATGTTATGCGTATTGCGGGGCTCTTGCTCACCTTTGCTGCCATCTGTCGGCCAAGTTGGAAGTGATACTCCCGACGTTAGCAGTGCACGTGAGGAAGGCTCCTTTGTCGTAACTTGGCTTATTTTAATGTAAGTACGACTCTTTTCCTGTGTTATATTATAAGCAAATGTAGCGTAATAGTCAATTAATAATTTGGTTGAAACTCTATATCATATTTTGCTAGGGTACGGTGATTAACTATGAGAGGGTGAAATTAGGCCATGCGTTGCTAAGTGGCCTAGTCACTGCGGATGTCAGAGCCTTATTTAGTCTTTGTGTAAAGGGACTTCAAGGAAGGTAATGCTTCAGTAAACCATTTTACATTAAATCTGAGGCTTGGTGAATATTTTGACTCGGGTATAAACTGAATGCGTGATGCGAGGAGAGAGCCAATGTGTACCTGGGAAGTTCTTGTATTTGGTAGTGTTGCGTCATAATATTGCCACATAACCTAAAATTTTTGTTCTTTAGCACCATATGGAAGTAGCATGTGTTACATAATAGGGTCACTTACGACCATGGACATTGGTCTTAAAAGTTTTAGTTGGTCTGAATAGTTTTTACTGGTTAATTTAATGGTAGTTCCTTACAATAGTGCAGTACGTAATAATGGCATATTATAATGGTAAATAATACTGTAAGGCTTTTAATAATTAGCTTTACAAATATTTAGTTGTATCATGCGGATGTACATGGCACATGACAAAGATCCTTTTCTATGAATTTCTATTTGTTTACTGTACAGTAGTAGACTGTATTCAGAAGACACATGGCGGGTGAGGAAGGCATCGTGGTTCATAAATTTCTTCCTTTGCATGAAAGAGTTAAAGCGTGTGGGGTAAAGATTCGATTTAGGTCGGCTATATGGAGGACTTCACAGCCTTCCTGTAATTTGTTTTGATGTTTTTATTCGTACTATATTTTCACCAGTAATGAAGGAAACTGTTAGCAGTAGAAAATACTCATGGAATTGCTGGAAATCTTATCTGCAAGATACTAAACAAGAAAATGAAAACAACAATGCACAGAACCTGACCTAGCCAACCTAATCCAACTTCCTTACTGGAGGGCTCTGCCCTCCTAGCATATTAAGCAGTTATCTGCCACATTTTAACACATAAGAATGGAGGAAACTGCAGCGGGCCTATTGGCCCATACTGGGCAGTCCCGTTTACACCCAACCCCTATTGCTCATATAAGTATCCAACCTATGTTTGAAGCTATTCAGCGTATTCGAGTTAATGATGATATTTGGTAACTTGTTCCACTCATCCAGTTACTCTGTTTCCAAACCAGTGTTTACCTATTTCACGCCTAAATCTAAATTTATCTAATTTAAAACCATTGTTACGAGTTCGCTCCTGGTTGGATAGTTTGAGTACCTTTGTAATGTCCCCTTTGTTTAGCCCTGCCTTCCACTTATACACCTCTATCAGGTCGCCCCTCGCTCTACGTCTCTCGAGGGAGTGCAAATTAAGATGCTTTAACCTGTCTCTATACTCAAGGTTCCTAATGCCCGGGATTAGTCTTGTCATTCTCCTCTGAATTCTTTCCAAGGATTCTATATCTATTCTGTAATACGGTGACCAGAACTGAACTGTGTAATCCAGGTGTGGTCTCACAAGCGCAAGATACAGACACTTGCACATCCTGCCGACTAGTCCATGTTGACAGATGAACGCTTAGACACGGTCTTCATCCCCCACAAGTGCAGATAACTTGGGATAAGATCAAAAGATAAAGAACACCGCACATAGGCCGCCATAAGTACGTACAGTACTTAAAATTAAAAAATGGCTAACTTGTCTCTCCCCTTGAGGAAGAACAATAAATATACTGTATATGAACATACAGTTTACTTTCAATCCAATTATACTCCAAAGAAATTTTAAATGTTTCCAAACCCATAATATGGGATTTAAATCCAACTTTACATAGAATAAGTTGAATAATTAATTATGCAAAAAGGAAAAATAGAGGATCTATGCAGATATTAAACACGAAAACCAGGAATGTGAAGCCTATAAAATTGAAAGTACCTGTGATGCTCTTTTGTTACTACTTGTAAATATTTACAAAGACCGGATTCAAAAGGTAGACATTACGTGGTGCCGCAAGAGAATTATCGGCCAAATATTTATGGTAAAAAATTTAATTGTGTAAAAAAAATATAAAACCACACAGGAAAAGGGAATTACTGGGACGTATATGATTTTGGATTTTTTTTTCTTATAAATTCAGACAAGACTTTTTTTCTTTTTCATCTATGACACTTTTGATGCATGATTTTCATTATATATTTGGTTAAGGTGTTAAAAGGGGGCCCACCACTGTGTTTCTCATTTTTTTTTGTTATTATTTATTTATTTATTTATTTATTTTTTTTAGGATTCCTACTAATACCGATGTGTTCATTTTAATATGCAAGTATAGTTTTAGAGATGGGAGAAATAAAGTAGGAGTACAGTTGTGTTGGAGACTAGGACTAATCATTTCTTACAGAAGGTGAAAATAACCAGATAACTCAGACTAACCCGAGTCTTAGGTTATTTTGGGGTCACGTTTGATTGCTTTACGTCATTTAGATGTAGAAATGATTTGGACGTCATTATACATTGGATATAGGGCTTCATCATTAGAGTTGTAATTTTACTGCAGATTTGATTGTTATGGAAGGGTGTATTGCTTCATATTTAGCACCAAGCTTAATAATATTTATCGGATATATACAGTACAGTGGTCCCTCGGTTACGAAATTTCGGTTAACGAATTAGCTCCCATAAGGATTTTCAGTTCGATTAACGAACTAAACTTCGATTAAAGAAAGCCTTACGAGAAACACGTTTTGTTGTGCGCATCAGCTGATCGGCTAGTCCGCCAATACAGTAATCGGTTCTATGTTTATATTCGTTTCCAGTGGAGTAAATATCAAGAAGGTTGTGCTCTTTAATATTTTTGCATTTTTTATATTTAAATTATTAGTCATTCTAAAATGTAGTTAACATATTGATAAAATAGACAATACAGGGAACAGTTTTTGTGCGCCCATCAGCTGATCGAATCACCCACCAGTGCCTCTCAGTTTAACTTTGTTTACAGTGGCGTGAACATCGAGTTTGATCTCTTGAATATTTTTGCATTTTTACATTAAAATTATTGGTCATTCTGAAATTTAGTTAACACATTGATACTATGCAGTGTCGAAATTATTATGAAACACGAAGAAGGCATTAGAACCAATGCACTTTTTAAAGAATTGGCATGTCATCATCAACTGCTTCTACAATCAGCTGTTTGATATGTAAACAAAGCTGCCGGGAATACGACATACACACCTCAATGTAAGTTAAAATACAGTATTCTATTGTTTTTTTATTTATTATTGTACAGTATACTGTAATGTACAGTACTGTATTTTGTTTACATTTAATGTTTTGTTAATTCTATTACTGGTATGTATACTTTTTCTCTTGAGTTGGAACCAATTACCCAATATCCCATTGAAATAATCGATTCGGTTAACGAAATTTTCGGTTGACGAACGACTGTGGAACCAATTGTGTTCGTTGATCGAGGGACCACTGTATTTGTCATGCTTCAAAATTCAAGCAAAAATTTCTTCCACAGATCCAACACCACAATGCCATCAGATGCCAAGAAGAAGAGGGAACAGAAGAAGAGAGATGCAGCAAAGGCTAAACAAGCTGGCAAGAAAACCGAGACAAGGGACGAAAAGGAGGTACAGTATGGATGTTATTTTCACTGCAGGAGTACTTCCTGTGTGTACAGTATTGTACTATACCTTGTAATTTACTCAGTCCAAGTTCATGAATTACCAATTTTTGGTAAGCTGAAAGAATATAATGACCATGAATAAAAATTTGCAGCAAATTTTGTTTAGTGAATCAAAAGTTTAGAATGGGCAGTGAAAGATGCATTCTGTAGTTTGAAATTTAAAGTACTGTATTGTACTACAGTTGTACCTCTCTAGTCCGGCATTCTGTGGTCCGGAAACTCCCGTGGTCCGGAACGATTTTAGTTTGTCCAATAGGTAGATAGGCAGCTTTTTTTTTTTTTATCTGAATTATTATTATTATTACAGGAGTATTAAATTTTTGCCCCTCAGGCCCCAATGTGGGTCAGTGACCTATGCCCGGGTGGGCTAATCCCCTTAAAAAAACAAACAACAAAGCCGCGGTAAATTAAGGTTTGTTTACATCCGGCAGTTCGGCTGCTCTCTCTCTCTCTCTCTCTGCTTGTCTATACAGAGTACAACATTTAACCCTTCAATATATATGAGCAGTAAATAAGTGTTGCTTTCATATTCTTATGTAGAGTAATGACGATATGTTTTCACATGTGCGCACTTACATATGCGCAGTCTCACTTTTTTTTACCATTAATGGTTAGCTACTTATATTGTTCCATTTATTAACATTAAATAACATTACAGGTATTTCAAACAAACATATTAATTTTTTTGCATTAATTTTACTACAGCTAAAATCAGGGTCTTATTTTCTTCAGTTTTATATGTAGAACCAATCAGTCACTGGTTTCGTAAGCTTTAAAATAAACAATGCCAGCAGCTGTCTCGTCTCCTCTAATATTCCACGTATTATTAATAAATTGTATTGTTAATTTTGCACACACACACATTAATTCAATAAAAACAAATTCAGAAACATTGATTAAAATATATATGAACAGAAAATAAGTGTTGCTTTCATATTCTTATGTAAAGTAATGATGATATGTTTTCACGTGTGCGCATGCGCACTTACATACGCGATCTCTCTTTTTTCTTTACCATTATCGTTAGCTACTTCTATTGTTCCATTTATTAACATTAAATAACATTACTTAAAATAACCATATTAATTTTACTACAGCTACAACCAAGGTCTTATTTTCTTCAGTTTTATATGTAGAACCAGTCAGTCTCTGGTTTTGTAATCAACGAAAACAATGCTGTCATTTCCTCGTGTGTTTTAATATTCTACATATTATTAATGAATTGTATTGCTCATTTTGCACACATAAACATTAATTCAATAAAAAAGACATTCAGTAATAAACAATAATGAATCTTTTGTACATAAGAGAAATGGCACTGCTTACAGGATTATGCACGTCGTCTGCACGTTGGCGGGCCGTTCAAACCCGTCGAAATTCAAGTTTCCGCCGTCAAAATTTTCATTTATTTTTTTTGGTGTTCCAATAAAATAAGTTAAGAATTAAAAACTCGCGAAGTTTGAGAAGCTACTATACGACATTTAACCCTTCAATATGTCTTCAAAGAGACCATGATGCAGAGAAAGTGGTGCTAGTGCTTCCAAGCATAAGCACAAGTCACTATCTATCCAGGAAAAGGGTGAATTTCCATGGTCCGGCACCGGTCAGGTCCCGAGGTTGCCGGACTAGAGAGGTACAACCTGTATAATAGTATCTGTACAGTACCAGTAGCTACAGTAATTCGTTTGTAATCTGATGAGGGTAGGTCGTCTAAAAATACAAATACAGCCACTCCACAATTGATCACTTATGTAAAGCAAGTGTTTAATGATATTAATAAAGATAGAATTTTATTATATACCATACACTGGTGAATTTTTAAACAAATATATGGATGAGTAACAGGAAAATAATAAAAAAAATTTGATGTTTATAATATTGACAATGCTGTACTGTACACAGTAATTTAAAAAGAATCACATATTACTTTTATAAGGTATTTGTTAACTTGAAATTCTTGGTATGTCTTATACTGTACTTCAGAGGTAAAAATTTCCGTGCATGCACGGAGGTACAGTATTCCAAGTGTTAACTTCAAAGATTCGGGGATTTGTCATATTTTCCTATGAAGATTAAAACACTGCAACAAAAAATAGCCAAGCTTCACAATTATACAACATGCAGCTAATTGTCACCTTGCTTTGAGATGGTGCAATATATGGAGATGTTCCCAAATACTTGGGTCAGTAGTTATTCAATCGTTACCTGGTTGATATAAAAAGGATAATAGGAGCAGAGAAAGAGCTCCCCAGTGTGGTGTATGTGCCAACAGGTGTGGAACACCTTAAAAGTTTGTAGTGGTCCCAGTATGAGTGAAGAAATATTAGTTATTGCAGAGTTTTAGGAAACCTTCTTATATTTAAAAAATCTTTGTTTTTACAGCCTCAGGAAAATGGGAGTTCAAATAACTCCAAGAAGAACTCTCGTGAAACAACACCAATGACTAACGGCAGCACAAATGGCAATGAAAAACTTAGTGCTGAAGGTCAGTTCTTATTTATTATGCAGATAGATTTTTCCAAACCAAATCCCTCTTAATACAGGATGGCTAGAATTAAAAGCATATACACTTTCTTCATTTGTTATCATTCTTTCCTAATTAATCCATATAAGGCTTCGTTTTGTTGCTTCAGATACACTTTCCTCTTACATACATTATCCATGCTTTGTACATGTACATTAATGTAATCTCAACAGTTTCCGTGTGCATTCTCTCTCTCTCTCTCTGTGTATATATATATATATATTTATATATATATATATATATATATATATATATATATATATATATATATATATATATATATATATATATATATATACACAGGGTGTCCCATAAATTTCCATACATAGGAAAAATAAATTTTATATGAAAGTCCATTTTTATTTATATAATATGCTCTACATGACTACCATTATGTTGAAAACACTCTTCAATGCGTGTCCTCCACTGCTGAAGAACACGTTCAAGCACAGCTGGAGTTATGCTTGTAATGGCGTTGGTGATACGTTGTATGGAAACTTATGGGACACCCTGTATGTGTGTATGTGTGTATATATATTATATATACAGGTATATATATATATATATATATATATATATATATATATATATATATATATATATATATATATATATATATATATATATATATATATATATATATATATATATATATATATATATACATATATATATATATATACCTAATACCTGACCATTGTGGACCTGGTCTCACCCTCCTTGGTTTGTATTTCTCTCTCTAGTCTGTACTCACCCCGGAAGATGTGAATTACACGAAAGCGCTTGGGAACTTCGTGTTTTCTTCTTTCCTTGTGGTTATCAGCATATACCTAGATCACGCGCACCTACAGTGATTTACTTGCATATGTATATGTGTATATATATATATATATATATATATATATATATATATATATATATATATATATATATATATATATATATATATATATATATATATATATATATATATATATATATATATATATATATATCTGTACACATACATTTTGTTGAATCTTCTCTTGTTCTTCACTTACTTTCATATATTTTTTTCCAATTTCCCACTAGGGTAATATAATTTGCAAACAGTAGCACACTTGCCCCTTACTTATATCTATCTTTATTTACCAAACCTGCATCATACTCATTCACTGTTTCTTTCACTTGCTATTCCATCTGCAAAAATATTAAACCAGCACTAACATATTACACATCTTTAGCATAGTCCATCTTTAACTGAAACCATTTTGCCTCTTCCTGACTTATTCTTGCACATATTCAAGGTTGTTAAAAAATGACAGAGCCTTTAAATAAAATAGCAGGATATTTTTTCCTCCTTTTTTCTACAGCATAGTGGTAACATCTGGTGCATTTTGTGGTGAGGGTGGGAGTAGCTAGGTTAGGCAAGTGTTTATCAAAAACCTTGGTACAGTATTTCACTTAACCTACGGAAAAACTTTAGACTACATTCATTTCTTAACTACTGTACAATTCCACGTAACGTGACCCTGCTTATATGCATCTGACCCCCTGAACTGCCCTTATGCTTGGGTCTTGCATGAGCCAACCCACCCAGCATCTCTCACTACCTCAGCGTGTTTATCACTTGTCTGCACTCGGTTGAGAAAATTTGAAATAAAATCATTACAATACTCTAATGTAGCTTAGAAATAAAGAAAATATAATGTAAAGCTTTAAATATGAAAAATGAAGAGTGTGGGTGTGTATGTAAGTAGGTAGTAGGCAGCTACGAAACAGGGAGTTATTTCTGCCTGTGAAGATATTGGAAGCATAATGTGTTGTCTAATGGCAGACCCTGCTGCCATATGGCATCACGAAAATTGTGACCAAGTACCGGGTTGCTGATCTGACTTCCTGCCTCATTTACACACAGTTGCAGGGTCTCAATTGTTTCTCTTACCATTGACAACACATCATACATATATCATTTCTCACTATTGATCTTTTTTCATTATTGCATTTATTTTTGGGTTTTTATATTATTATAATTATTATTATTTTATTTTTTAATTTTGTATTTTTATTAAAAATTTTATTTACTTTGAACTAATTATTATTATTACTGCATTAGTATTAAATCCCCCCCCTCCCTGCCTTGATGTGGGTTAGTGACCTGTGCCCGGGTGGGTTAATCCTGTTTAAAAAATAATTGTGTGGGAAGTACAGTAATATGTATTGAGACAGTGAGCTGTGCATCACCGACTTTTCACCCAGCTACACTCTCCTGCCCACCTATGTAATGTCATGGCATACACACAGCACAGAGTGGCATCATTCACACACATCATTGAGTCAGCCGGCTGACTGTCTGACTGAATTGTTACATCATCCAGAGGATGGTGTGAGTGTTTGTACATTTAAAGTGTTCATATTGTACTGTAGGTTTAATGTTTGTGTGTACATTTAAGGTGTTTGTATAGTATCGTAAACATCTCCCAGGCATTTGTGTTTGTAAAAAAAATTTTTACTGGTTAAATTTACTGCAATCTTGGCCCCTGAGAGGAAAATTAGTGGCACTGCTCATGGTGGTGAGAGTGAGAAAAAGAGAAGATTGCTTACAGTACTGTGAAAAACTTTTGAAGAAAAAAGTCAAGATATTGGACTTACTAAAGAGTGGTGTACAGTATTGAATGTCGGTTACCTTGGTATAAGAAAGGGGTAAATGAATATTTACAGGGGGCCTGAATATCTGCAAATTTACACTTACTCGGGATCCCAGAAACGTATCCCTCACATGCTCTGAGATCCTACTCTGCCTCATACTTTTTTGTATTTCCTGCTTCACTTTTTTTATATAATGCATTTTTTAATCTATAAATACACACACAGATTTTCCTTTTGCCAGAATTTTTTGGCCTTGTACTGAATTGAAATAATTTGATCCACACATCTTCCTTTTCTGAATGGAAACTCCTCATGTAATAGCTCAGGTCTGTTCACAACTACCGTACATTTTCCGAGTACAGTACACTATGCTAAGCTCTTATTCCTCTAATTTTAAGTCATTCATTTGTCCTCCATTATAGAAGGTAACTGTACCTGCTTTCTTCCATTGCATTTGTACCCACCCCTCTGTCATATAATTATGGCTTGTACGGTACTGTACACTTAAGTCATCCAATCTGTTTCTTCCATCTCTCATGCTTTGCATTTCAACAGTTATTCCATCTGCCTATGGTGTCTTACCACTTATAAATGTTTTCACCAACATTACTATTCACTTTCATTTTAGCTTTCAGATTGATTGGTTGGTAGCTAGTAGTTACAATAAGAAAATATATTCAGAGAATCTGGTAATATTTATACCTTTTGGGCTTTCTTTTCTGACCTAATGTACTGTATCTTGTAGTAATATTTCAAGAATTACTAAATAACTGATAACAATACAGTATTGTTTTTCCAGGTATTTGTATACATCATCTTGTCATGCTTTTTCTGCCATTGCCCTCATGCATAACTGCTGATGCAACCTTCACATTTTCCATGTTTCTTTTGCATCGAGTCTGGTGTGAGAATTTCATAACAGAATTTAGAGTTCATCTGTGTGGATACAACACTGTATACTAAGGTTGCTCTACACAAGGAGGCAGCTAGGCTGGCACTGCACTCAATTGCCTTCACTTCCCCAACTGTAAAGTTAGGTACCTATTCACAGCTGGGTGAACTGGGGGTGCCCTAGGCGCGAACCAGTGAGCCTTGGGACGGGAGGCAAGCGCTGTATCCACTCGGCCGCCACACCCCCCTTGGCATGTAAAGGTATATAAATTATCATCGGCTAAAGTGTGTCAACATTTTAGTGGGCATATCTTTGCATAATATGATGGTGAGGAGACCAATTTATCAGGTCCTCTGCCAAAACATTCCAGTCTTCCTTCTTTAATCATTCTATTTTTCCCACTTAACATACAGTATCTAATTTTCTTGTAATTTCCTACTTACATTCTTTGTACGTCTTCTTTTATTTGTGTACTGTATGTTCGTAATAATTGTAATCATTTTACTAATTGTGTTTACATACTTTATTCGAGTACAAGTATTTCATATTTTTCCACTTTTGTAAACAGTACAGTAAAACCCAACTTTTACAGGGTGTTGCATCCTTAAAGATATGGAAAACATATTTATTGGTTAGAGTCAGAATTAGAGTTGATTCGTGACATCAAGAGACCATTTACGACAATAATTATTACTTGACATGATAAAAACATACTGTACAGGACATTTCTAGGTATTAAACAATCTACACGTGATCACTATTAATGTGGAAATTCCTCTTGGCAGGATCTCCCATATTTCAGTACAGTAGTAATGTTGGCTTAACAATTCCTCTATACATCCTCAACTTTTTCTCTTTTGACACAGTTTTCACTTAATATTCTTCTTAATTAATCCATTTTTTCTCCCTTTCTTCGTGATTTAATTATTCCCTATTGTTTCATTAATCAACATATTCACTCTTAGATATTTGAAATGCCTCACTTCCTCCATTCTACTGTATGTTTATTTAGATTGACATTTATTTGTCTCCCCTTGTTTTCCTATTTTCATTACCTTTTTTCATTCATTTTGCACTTACATGAATTTTCTTTAAAAGTTCATCATTGTTGGGGGTATCTGTTTTTCCAACATCGCTTAAGTATTTCTTGATTGTACACACGTATACGACTACTATAGTATTTTTTATATTTGTCTTCTTTTATATCCTTATCAGAGCTTGAAAAGTAATTTAAAGCCATTTCGTATAGAGGGCAGTTTGTATAAAACATTTCCTATCCTGCTGGACTTTGTATATGACTGCTTGTATAAATTGTCAAAGATATAGGTTAGGCCTGTTTAATAATGTTACACTGGGGTCTAAGAGCTCTTGTGTAGTAAGGAGATTTAGCTTGTTAGATTTCTAAAACCCCAATCTTGTGACTGTAATATAAAAAATAAAAGAATGTGAAAATTTGAATATCCATCACAACAGATTCTAAAAGGAGACACTTGATTTGAAGGCACTGAAAGGGGAGAAAGAATCACAGGACTCGTTAGATCCAGTCACAATGTCATACAGCACAGACTTAATCAAAATTTTCTCCAATTTTAAGGGGAGTTTTAACATTTCATGTGATTTTAGGCAGCCACGTGGTGTTGACTGTTGCCAGTCCTAGGGGCTGTTATTATGTTGATATTGTGTTAAGGGGTGCAGCAGTTGAGTGGTTACAACACTTGCTTCCTGACCTATGGGTTGCTATTTCACATCCAGGGGACCTAGGTTCACCTGCCTGTGAATGGGTACCTCACTTCACAATGAGGTGAAGACAGTTGAGTGTAGTACAACTCTCACAAGGTGGACAAGTACTTCTTCATAAAGAGAATGAGAAGGTCACTTTTCCTTACCAATGCATCATCATTCATAAGTGTGGAAAAAAATTTTTTACACCGATTCACATGATGTATACGGGTACAATACTCGTATTCCCTGTACTTCCCCTTATGCATTCTTACATGTCTTGTATTTTCCTACCTGTATGTACAGTCCCCTTCACTCGTGCTTTTATTGGGGGGCATCATATAAACATTCCACAAATCATTGTCTTTGAGATAATTGTTTTAGTTTGATTGCATAGTATGTTTACTATTGCGAATTTCCTACTGTCGAATGTAAGCAAACACGGTGCTGTTACACTGCACAAAACCTGACAACCCCTTGTAAATGCACTAGTGAAGGGGACTGCACATGTATTCCTCCTCCACTTCCTCACTTACAAATACAGTACTTATATTCCTTGTACTTTCCCACTTATATAGCCATGTACTAACCCCACTTGTGTATATGGTACTTTTTAATAGCTTTTCCATAATAATAATTTATTTATGAATTTTATATTATTGATTTATATTTTTTATACAAAGTAATTGTTTGGTAAAAATGGGAAAAGTAAAATATGATAAGTTGATAATAGTATAATGCTAGGAAGAGTGCAAGTGTTGAGTGCGTGAAGAGCCTATGTGAAATTGTCTTTGAAACTGTTTTGTTTCAGCAAGACTTTACTTGTAGATGTGGAATTGGTGTTTCAGAGTAGGGATGAGAAACAAGTATTGAATGAAAATATAACAAGAATTTAGTGAGTCAAAGAGTCTAAATTTTAATGGCTGAGTGTGCACCGAGATGGTATGGGCATTTGGTGTCTGCGATGGTGGAAAAATTGGTTACATTTATGAAAGCGCGACAGTGAAAGCAAACAATGAGGTAGATTATATAGGTGAATTAGTAGGGTCTCGTGGAGTCACCAGATTGAGTTTGAAGAATGGTAATGAGTCATTTGCACTGGAATCGTTATACTCATAATGGAGATAATTTGTTATCAAGTGGATCTAACATGGAGTAAATAGGAATAGGATTGAATCCATAGTTATTCCGTATTTTGCATATGGCAAAAATGAACAAAGTCCTATAATAATTTGTTTGAAAATGGTACATAGGTCATCATAAAATAGAATGGCTCATATTTTATGTACAATAAATAGTTCCTTCTGCCTTCAATCATCCTCTGGGTGACATTGGGTCTGAGCTAGCCACCCAGCTGACTTAAATGTGTGTGGCTATTGTGTGCCACATGCCCTGACATCATATAGCTGTCAATGCAAGGCAGGAACAAAGAGAAACTATTTATTTTAAGCGTACTTTAATATTAACCAAATTTAAAAGATAAAGTAAACTTACAGCAGAGGTGCATGTGCTTAAACTGAAATAGGCCTTTTTTTATTTATTATTATTATTTTTGTCCCCAGGTCCTGATGTGGGTCATTGACTTGTGCCCTGGTGAGCTAATCCCATTAAAAAAATATATATAAAATATAAAAAAGCAATGTTACCAGATGCTCTGTTATCAAACCGCTCACTGCCTCCAAACATACGTTCACCTGTCACACAAAACAAACGCTCGTTATCTTAGTTTTTCTTAAAGTTTTATAAAAAAAATCTTTATTTTAAAGTCACATTCTACTGTGGTATTGAAATTATTTTTCTACAACTTTATAGTTTCTTTACATAGGTAGTAGGCAGCTACCAAACAGGGAGATACTACTGCCTGGAAAGATATTGGAAGCATAATGGTAGACTCTGCATCACGAAAATTTTGACCAAGTCCCAAGTTGCTGATCTGACTTTCTGCCTCATTTACACACAATTACAGGGTCTCAATTATTTATCTTACTATTGACCACACAACATATGTATATTGTTTCTCACTTGATTTTTTTCTCATTTTTTAATTTCTTTATTATTATTATTATTACAGTGTTGTTGTTGTTATTATTATCATCATCATCATCATCACTATAAATTTATTATTTTATTTTCAAATTTTTTTTATTATAAATTTTATTTACTATGAATTACAGTATTATTTTTATTATTATTATTACAACATTTTTAACCCCCCAGGCTCCAATGTGGGTCAGTGACCTGTGCCCGTGTGGGCTAATTCCCGTAAAAAAAAAATGGCAATGTGTATAATCATCTCGCACCTGACTGGTGACATGTGTTATGGAAAGTTACTCTACATATTAGATGCTCTTCACACTATTCATACGTCATTTTTGGTTAGGCATTTAGTAGACTGTCACAAACCACTCGTAAAAATACTGGTGAGAGAGTGATGCATTGTTGTTGGAGCAAAATAATAAATTGTTTTAGACTTTCCTTTTGCAAGTTGACTTCCTGTTAGCATTTTGAACATGTTAATAGATGATGATGATAATAAATTTTGGTAAATAACCACAAAAAGTAGAGAGAGACAAGTACAACACACACAGAAGTCAGCTGTTTGAAACTGACGTATGTGCCACTGTGGCAATACCTACTGTATAGGAAAACAATGTGGCCACCCAAACCCGTGGTTGAAAATAGATTTAACCAGGTTCAAAAACAACCGATTTGTTGGTAAATCCAGTTTCATTGACATCAGATGAAAATGGTCTGGTACCTGTAGCACATGTGAACCTTGCAGCTCTAATTTATATTACCAATGAATGGTTATGAAGCATTGTGAAGGTGTGTGCTTGCAAATAAGCTTTTCTTTTTTCTTTTACTGTTCTAGCCTCCTTTCTATACTGTCTTACACTGCAGTCTTATGGGTTTTTGTAGTTTGATCCACTAAATGCAAAATTAGGAAAGGAATCGAGTTGTTACATCATAAGTGAGAAATATACCTGTATATGATTTGATTCTGTAATTATTTGTACTGTGCCGTAGTTGGTGGATGTGATGTCATCGGGTTAGCAAGCAACAATTTGATTTTGGGGGGAGTAGTGTGCTTTATGTTGAAAACTTGTGGTGGGAGTCACTGGTATAAAATAAAGATTAAGAGTTGGAGTTTTAATTTCCATTTTGTGATAAAATTTTGAATTATCAAAATATTTTAACATCATTAGTTTTCTTATCCAGGTATTAAAAAGGATAATGAGGAAACTGGATAAATGATTGTGTTATGAATAGTTGCATAAGTTATGCTCCTTGTTATTATATAAGTCACTAATGGGTTCCTTTAATTCCTTTCAGAAATTCTGTGTCGGAAACTTGAGGAAGATATGAAAATTGCTAGTGAAGCTCGTTCTTGTACTGGTGTCTTAGGCATCCATCCACGTGCTCGGGATATTAAGATTGACAACTTCTCTATCACTTTCCATGGTTCAGAGATGCTTCAGGACACCAAACTAGAGTTGAATTGTGGTCGACGGTTAGTACTTTGGATTGTTTTCATGAATATATTAATGATTAAAGGAATGGCAGAGCCTATAACTAAGTGTAGCTTGATGGTCCAGGCCTAGTAATCTGGTCATTACATACATAATGCATATAGACTTCATAAAAAACTGAAATGACAACATTTGTAAAGACCGCTTGTATCAAGTTATTGCGGGTGTGCTCATACACGTGTTACAGCGTTTTTTAAATGTTCACCCCATAACATGTTAATATAGTGTAATGTAGCTAAATCCTATGGAATTACACATCCCAGTTTTAAATGGTGTTCTTTTTGTAGATTTTTTTTTTTTTTTTTAACGGGTGGTGTTAAACTGATATTTTTCTAGGTTAGAGGGATATGAATTATATGTTGACTTAGGCGAATAAACTACAGTGTTGTTTTGTTTATTGAATTGTGGATATTATTAGTACAGTCTCTCCTCGACTTACGACAGGGTTCCGTCCTGACGACCAGGTCGTAAGTCGAAAATGCGAAAATAATACATAGAAATTCTAAAATTAAATATGGTACAGTAAACGTAATCAATAATGAAAAATGAATAAAGTGTTACTGTGCACTTACCTTTAATGTAGTCTGCTGGATGCACATGGGGCCTCAATAATTTTTTAATTAAACCTGGAGACTACATTAATTGGATGAAGCAGAGGAGGAGACATGGCTGGGTGGGTCCTCAATTTCGCTTTCTTCAGACAGGCTAACATACTTGCTTGTTGAAGGTATTGGATCATCTTTAGGGAGTGAAGAGGCAGCAGTGGTGGGGCGTGAGGAGACAGTAGTGGGGGACTTCTTAAAATATATGTCCAATTTAGACTGCACAGCTTGCCTTTTCTTTTCATTGTAAATCTCCCTGTTGCAAGCAAGTGCATCTTGGATCAGTCTGTCAACTTTTGTAAAATGCTCAACATTTTGATCCATTTCTTCAAACATTTGCATCCCCTTATTAATAGTAGCAAATGCCTCTGCCTTGTCCTTTAAAATTTTTGATATCGTCGAGTGAGAGAAGTCACCGTCGCGTGAAATGGTTGCTTCCGTTTTTCCATTTTCATATTGCATTATTATTTTCATTTTCATCTCAAAAGTAATTGACTGTCCCCTTTTCTTATCGGCACCACGAGAACTCTCACATTTACGCTTGCCTGCCATTTTAAAGGGAATTAGAAACAAAAATTTTGTCAGTACACAGCGCGATCACTAACACCAACGACGGCCAAACACCAACTGAGCAGGCTACGGCATTTATGCTTTACACCACGAGGCGGCCCAGCCCACGGTGTCGTACGGGACAGAAACGTTTTGGTACTAGAAAATACGTAATTTGAAAAATATTTTATACGGCTATGGCGGTCGTATGTCCGAGTTGTCTTAAGTCGAGTAGGTCGTAAGTCGAGGAGTTCCTGTACTGGGCACGCTGTCAGTGATGGCTAAGCAAGTCATTAGCTATACTGTAATTAGGAATGATGTAAATAAAGGAATTTAGTGTTATGTACAGATACATTTTGTTTGTAGCTAGAAATTATATGTTGTGGAGTTGAGATGGGAAGCTTTAGTTGTATGCTGTACCTCATGGGCCATATCATTACTTCTCCAAGGTTTTGTAATTTAAGGTGATTAAGGTATTGGACCTTCACTAGATTGAGACTTCTGATTTTTAATATACAATAGCTTTGGTTTTTCCATCATATACGGATTTGTGGGGGTGGTTCAGAGGGTCGTAGCCAGTAATCTTGGTCTGATGCCTTGCATATCTTGATGTGAGTTATGAACTGGATACGGCCAGTATGGTATTGTGAGGGAGAGTCTTCAACTTTGAATATAATTTTACGGTGCTCTTAGCAATCAAGATAACTTCATTATTTAAGGAGAAACTTTGGCGAGGTAGAATAGATAAAAAAATTAACTCTGAAAAGATTGTTCTTTATACAATTTATCATGTAATCAAGAATTATCAGCTTTGCTTGGATACATAACAGTAGAAAAATGTTTCTTACTGCACCCTATAACTACTACTCCTATTTCGATAGTTCTGTAGGATATCTTAAGTTGTGATTCTGTGAAGCTTTTAATTGTAATTTATATTTCAGTTATGGGTTAATTGGCACCAATGGTTGTGGGAAATCCACCTTGCTAGCATCTTTAGCCAATAGAGAGGTACCTATCCAGAACCATATAGATATCTTCCATCTGGTCCGTGAAATGCCAGCCTCAGACAAGACAGCACTCCAGTGTGTAAAGGAAGTTGATGAAGAGAGAGTTCGTTTAGAAGCTTTAGCTGAGGATTTAGCATCAAGTGATGATGATGGTAAATATTCCATTATTTTATTATTTCTGTAAATTGTGAACAGGGAAGTTACTTCAACAGAAGACTGTGTATATGCCGATAGGAGTTCTATTAGGTCAACTGTTTCATTAGGTCTAGCTTAAGATTCTTTGTCACCAGCCAGTAACCATTATTTAAATAAATTCAGTCTAGATGTCACGCATCTTATAAATAAAACACCAATGACCAATAAATAAGATTCCTATTCTGTGTGCAACTACCATACTAAACCAAATATATACTGTAATGTCACCAGGGAGGCTCTTCAAATATGCAAGAAGTATACTGTATATGGAGTTTTTTACCCTAAAATATCTGATGTTTGAGTTCACTAGAAAGAATTGAACACCCTCTTTGTCTTAATTGCTATGTTTAGCTTACTCCTTAGATCTTGCACATGAAATATCTAATTATATATATTAATTAATATTTACAGAAGCTCAGGAACAACTCCTGGACATTTATGAACGTCTGGAAGAATTGGGTGCTGACACGGCTGAGGCTAAGGCAGCATTTATCCTCCATGGTCTTGGCTTTACTCATTCTATGATGGAGAAGAAATGCAGAGACTTCTCTGGAGGTTGGAGGATGAGAATTGCTCTGGCTAGGGCTCTCTTCGTCAAGCCTCATCTTCTACTCCTCGATGAACCAACAAACCATCTTGATTTGGATGCTTGTGTATGGCTTGAAGAAGAATTGGCTAAGTATAAACGCATCTTGGTCATCATATCTCATTCACAGGTAAGTTTAGGAATAGACAGTTCCAAGTTAAATGATATGGGAATCTATCTCCCCTCTCCTTCCTTTTATTCCTCGTGTAGATATTCTTATCACTACCAATTTTCTTTTGTTCACTTTAGATGCCCAAACTAAACCTTCCTGACAGCATTAAAGTGTTCCTTTCATGTCAAAAAGAAGTCCAAACTTCAAAATCTATTAATGTTTGATTTACACCACCCGTTTCTCGCCAGATCCTTTGAGCTTTCTACTAAGAAGTCGTAGTGATCATGTAGTAATAGAAGAGCAAACATGCAGTGCTTAAGTTCTGAATATGTCCTACTAGGGCTGTGATGAACATGTAGTACTAGAGCTACAGTGTATGTGTCCTGTGGCTGTGTTGAACATGTACTGTGGTACTAATGTGGTGAATACTTGTATGTAGTAAATCTGTTGAAAGGAATAACTAGTGCTTCTGTTAAAATGAACATGTTGTAATGTGTGGTGCTACTGTTGCTGTCATTGTATTGTAGTGAGCATGTGGCTCTTGGTTTCGTTCGAGTAAATTTAGTTGGACAAGTTTTATTGTTTAGACAGATTATTTATTGTCTTTGTAAAATATTAAAGATATTGAAGGTGGATAATCTCTAATTACCTCTTGGAGTTGAGACCCTGCCTTAGTAGCAAATAGGGCACTAGGAAGCTCGACATATACTGCCTAGTTCCCATTCCTTAAAAATTGGTTGTGATATGAAGGGAATATAATTGTAAAACTTGTTTCAAATTTGACTGATGGCAACTAGGACACCATGCTATCCATTAATCATGGCTAACCCGCACTAGTGTGGAAAATGGCCTGAAAACAGTAATGATACCAATTGTATCTCTTCAGCTAATGAAGCTATTGTTTTTTAACTAAAAATAATAATATTTTGCAAGAACTAAAGTTGAATTTTACTCTTGCAATACTGTACATCCTTATTTGTGTAAGTACACAGATTCAGGCTTAATGTCATAATAAGACAGATGGTACTGTATTTGAATTGTCGTAAAATCATTTTACATTTATATTTATTGTACTGTATCCATATTTTATGTTGTTAAAATAAATCAAGTAACTTGAGATTTTCAGTGTAAAATGAACAAGGGTAGCGGAGTTGTAACCCAAAAGTTATATGTAATGACATTTTTATCATTTCACTATTGTTATTTTACAGGACTTCTTAAATGGTGTATGTTCAAATGTGATACATATGGATAAGAAAAAACTTAAGTATTTTGGTGGTAACTATGATGCCTTTGTGAGAACACGCCTTGAACTGTTGGAAAACCAAATGAAGCAGTACCAATGGGAACAGGATCAGATATCTCACATGAAGGTTAGAAGGCTATTTTTATATAATCATGATTTTGCCTCGTGATATATGAAGTGTATAGATGTTACATACTTTGGCTTGCTTTACAAAATATTGACTTTTACTGGTGTCTCTTTCAACAGAATTATATTGCAAGATTTGGTCATGGTTCAGCAAAGCTGGCCCGTCAAGCTCAGTCCAAGGAAAAAACCTTGGCAAAAATGGTTGCTGGAGGTCTTACAGAAAGAGTATCCAAAGACAAAAGTCTCACTTTCAGCTTCCCAGATTGTGGCACGATTCCCCCACCAGTAAGTCGTATGTCTGTTTTTGGTAACGGCTTTTGCAAGATATGTTTAAATTTTATAATAATATTGAATACAGTACAGGTAGTTCGAACTTAAAAGAATAGTTCATTTTAGAACTCACGGTGAAATTTTCAATAAATACCCAGATAGCTATTTTGCATCTTTTAGTGATAATGTCTGGACAGTTTAGATAAATATAATTTACACATATATTACAGATCGAAGATGCAGAACTTTTTCCCTTTGGTCCCCCTGATTTATAAACACTAATATATTTGATGTAGAACCACAAATTTAAATTCTTATAAACATTGTTACTGTTTAAGTAGCATGTGACAATCTCAATTGAATAACATATAAAAAAAGAAATTTGATCCATTCACTGTCTTTACTTTATTTTAGCTTAGGAATATGACTTATCCATGCAGCATGTGGGTTTGAATTGGTCCAGTATTTCATCATATTTTCTACACAAATATGTTAATTTTTTATTTTGTGAGACTTTCGGGTATAGCATTAGTGTCATTTGTCCTCGGAGCTTGAGTACTGTATTTCAGTTTACTTGTCAGGGCTGCTTTGCAGCTAACAACAATCTCAAACTGGTGAACAAGTTATTCAAAGTGCACAGTTGTTTACTCAAAATGGTAATTACACAATTGAACACAAAAAGTGTACAGTACCATATTCCTTCCCCCTGTTCCTTGGACCACAATGCCTTTAATAAAAAAAATCTTCCATTTTCATATCCCAGCACTGTTGCTCTTAGTAACTCTGAATGTCTCGAGGATACATCCCTGTTCTGTAAATGAACCAAGACATAACTCTGCTCAGTGTTAGAGATCATTTATTTTTAAAACCTTTAAAGTTAAACCATGTAAAGGCCTTTAACTGAATATCTTCAGTGAAAGTATAACTAAGTTAAAGAAAATGTGTACAGTAGGGTCGGGATATACTATAGCAACTTTACATAACGATTTTTTTTTTTTTTTACCGTGGCTACCAAAATTATCGACATTTTCCTATATACAGTCAGTTCTGCTGCAACGCGATAGTTGTGTTCTTGTAAAACCTCGCGTTGTAGAAATTCGCGCAATAGAAATAACAGGGCTTATGGAGAAAATAGGGTTAGGTGCAGATTACTCGAAATCGAAAAAAATTTAGTAGTTAGCCTAACACAAAGGATATCACAGTCTAAATAAATGTTACATTCATATCTAATAATGAAATCATACAGTAAATGTATCACAGTTAATACCACAAAATTTGAGAAATAGTCAGCAAAAATCACTGTGTATGCTTCAAAACAACCCACGTGTTTCAACTGATCGTGTGATGGAAACAGAGAGCGCAGGTGTAAAACGCTGTTAGTCCGCACTGCGAAACATTATTTATATTTATTTTTTTCATACAGTATTTATGGGAACAGCTAAATTTGCAAAAAGAATGATGAAATTTAGAGTCCCTATCAAATAACATGAATCAATTGAATGTGTGATGTTGAACGTGAACTGTAAACATTGCATAACCCCGCGCTTAGCGACAGTACACATAAAACGTTCGAGTGGAATCGCATTACAGCCAACACGCATTCGCTTTTTACAAATATCGTCTTCTATTCATCAATCGCGTTATAGCCAATTTGCGTTGACAAAACACGCGTTGTAGCAGAAATGACTGTATAGGGGAAAAAATCGCGAAGGAATCGGGCAGGAAATATTTCAAATTTATCACTACTACCAAAATTATTGAAATTTTCCAATACAGTATATAGCAATAAATTTATTTACAGTAGACTCACAACTTATGTGGGGTTATGTTCCTGGGACCTCTCAAAGCCAAAAAACAGTATAAAGTCAGAAACACTCAAAAAAATCCCCTAAATAGCCCCCCAAAATTTTTTGCTGTCTTGCAAGGATTTCAGCAATGCAATTTATATTCTGCTAACTTTAGTCTGACATTTTATAAGATGAAAACTTTAAGCCTAAAACCACTTTCAATCTTGCCGGAAGTGGAGGGGGAAGGTGATGTATTATGACAGCTGGCGCCAGCCCCCGGGCAAGGTTACCTAATGGTCCATGTATTTATTTATCTCATATAGGGGGAGTTTACTTTTTCTCATCAAATGTCAATGAATTGACTTAAGAGAAAATAATTAACATTGCTGGAATTCTTGTAAGATAGTGATTAAGTTGAAAATAAACATGCTATAGGTGGCCAATAGACAAAAATTTTAGTAATAATTAGTACATTTTAGTACAAAGGACAAAATTTTTTATCTCTTGTGCAAAATATATGATGTATATACAGGTATTCAAATTATTTGCTGTCTTGCAAGGATAACAGCAATGCAGTTTATATTCTGCAAACGTTAGACGTTGACATTTTATGTCAAGTTTAGTCACATTTATTAGCATTCAGAACCTAACCCTATTTCCCCATGGATTACATGTAATTATGTATCGCGATTTAGTATAGTGTGTAGCGAACATCCTTGGACCCTAGCTCGCGATATATCCCGACCCTACTGCAATAGTATTGCTTGGGATAAACACATGGTTTTCTTCAAGGTTTACTGGTTAGATGGTAGCTTCTTCTCATTTTAAGTTATAGGCAGTTTAAGTTTGATCTTGTTACAGTAAAAACCTCATAATGGACGAGTTGACGGTCGGAATTTTTTTTGTAAGATGGCAGGTCAACGGGTAAAAAAAATGCTTAAATTCACTATGGTAATGATATTTTTAAATAAATTGGACCAAAAAGTGTAAAAAATAAGGGTTAAAGTTGCTAAAAAGTCACGTGAAAGCGAAAAGCTCTGTGGTTAGTTGTGGCGAGCTTCCCAGCAGGAGGCAGCCAGCTGTAGTTGTCCAACCTTCTCGGCTGATCGGCTCTGTAAATATTATTAGATAATTAATTGTGCTTTACTGTGCAACACAGTAATACTATTTTGAATATATAAATATCACTAAGCACATAAACTAATTCAATGACTATTAGCTGCCCATACAAATTTCATAGTATAAACATTCCAAACAATATTGATATTATTTTTGTTTTGGTCATCTGAGGAACCTTAAGGTTCTAACTATGGGATTAAGTACTTTGAACAATAAGACACATTATCTCTACAGGATTTCTATCGCATAAGAAAATATATATATGGTAGGTTAGGTTATGATGAGTTATAAGGTTAGCTTAACATACATCGGTAAGGGGGGGTAGTAACTCAAAACTAGTAATTTCCGATTGAAATGAAGGTCTAAATCGTTCATAACACATCGCAAACCATCAGAAAAAAAAATAAGTGTGTCTAAGTACAGGGATGACCAAAGCTTAAAATTTACCCAATACAGTATAGCCCATCTCGAATCTAAACATCCAAATACTTATGGTAGTTAAAGTAAAATTTTACCAATTAATTAATATAAATGATAATATATCCTGGTTCATTAGTGAATCATCAAAACAATAACAGCACTATGTTGTCGTGTTACCTAGCACCAGGCATTATCAAAACAAAGTCCAGGCAATGTCATTACTTCTAAATTTACTCGTGTCTCCATCTAGTACTGATATACTCTGTAAATGCACTGAAAAAAAAAGAGGAAGTCTACCAGGTAAGAGTACATGACAGCTGAGCTGGTGTGAACATGGGAGTTTCTTATGTCCAAAAGAACATAGGAATGGAGGAAACTGCAGCAGGCCTATTGGCCCATACTGGGCAGTCCCATTTACACCCAACCCCTATTGCTCATATATCCATCCAACCTACGTTTGAACCTGCTCTTCACGGCACATTTCTTCACTTATGAAATGTCCATGGCTTAGACCATAAAAAAAAACCTTAAAACTTACCTGAATGTGACATTTGGGGTCTGAAGAGACCAACCTTTCTACTACCTCCGACTGCAGCAATGAGTTTGAAACTAGTGACGTCATTGCAAATGGTGGCCCTGTTTCTAGAGAAATAAACTTATCTCTACTATTATAGCAAGACTTTAAACTTTTAGTACAAATTATATACTGTACGTATACCGTCTCACTCTACGAACATGACAGAGTGTATTACTTGTGGTTACCCAGAACCGTCAACTTGTCCATTCGTACCCCTCAAATGCGAAATCGCTTGTAATTCATAATGTTTTTTCTGTTATGAAATATACTGTACAGGTATATGACAGATTTAGTACTATTTGGTAAAAAAAATTAAAATTTATAATATAGTAAATTTTGTAATATTTCATAAAATTTCAGATTATGAGACATTTACAAATATATATGATGCACATGTGGTCATGGGATGTGACCGCCCATCTCAGTGTAAACAAGTACTACCGGTATACGCGTTTCAGGTATCATTCTCGTTGGTCAGTCATGGAGTGCACATCTACGGTCTACTGTGCATGCTTTTTCCTCTTGTCTTACCATCATTGCCCAGTGCTTGGGCCATTATATCTTTGAAGCCTATATCTGGTACTGTACTTAGAAACGTTTAAATTTTGATTGGGGCAGATAAAGGATTTTTTTTTTTTTTTTTCGTAAAATCTTATCATTCGTAAGGACTAGAGCCCCTATTATTTTGAATTATCAGATTTTACTGGATAGGAGTTCAAGTAGCAGTATTAAAAGTGAATTTTGTCTTTGTAAACATACAAGTATGTGGTGTGTGTATGTACTGTAGCTGTAGTCTTGAGGTATTTACTGGGTTTGAATTTTTCTTTCATATATTTTTTTATTATATGTAGTGAACTGTGTTTTTAAATATTTTCCTGATATTTTCTTTCTCTGTGCAGGTCATCATGGTCCAAAATGTTAGTTTTCGCTATACCGACTCTTCACCGGTGATCTATAAAAACTTAGAATTTGGTATTGACTTGGACACTCGTTTGGCACTGGTAGGCCCAAATGGTGCAGGGAAGTCAACTCTCCTCAAGCTGCTGTATGGAGAGTTGAATCCTACCTCAGGCATGATACGCAAGAACTCTCACCTCAGGATTGCTCGTTATCACCAGCACCTTCATGAACTCCTCGACTTGGATCTGTCGCCTATAGATTATATGATGGCACAATTCCCCGATCTTAAGGAAAGAGATGAGGTGTGTATCTTTGGAAGATCTTGAAAAGTTTTATCAACCAAACAATTTTGACTTATGGCATAGTTTACTTTTTGTGTTCTGCTAATTTATTTACTAATCCCCCTCCCCCACTTTCAGACGGTCTTTTCCACAAGTACAGGGTGGCCATAACTAGTAAAAGATGTGTGCTTCATTTGCTCTCATAAATTGACTCATATCTGTGTCACATTTTGCTGTAGTGTTCCTTTCCTCAACAAAATCTTTCCATATCTTGTCACTTCATGCAACCTATCACACATATCAGCAACCATTTAGTGCCATAGTCTGTGGTCATCCGTGCTCACTGCTGCTCCCTGGATGTATGTCCACTGCACTTCTAATGTGTACCTCTTAATTGTCCTTCCATCTCTGATCTTCTCTTTTGTAACATCCACCTCTCACAAGTCAATAATTTTGTATGTCACGAAGTCTACGTAATTGTTAAGATTTGGCAAGCATTGTTGTGTGTAGTCAGCCGGTCAATGATGTAAAGTAGGAGTATTGGGGCGTGCTTGAGTACATATGGGTGTGTAAAATCCTATATACTGGAATTGATTTTCCACGCATTTTTATCAATGATTGGTTATTATTGTAATTTATCACGGTTTCCGATCTAAAACATTTAATATTTGCGATGGAGACACATATCATACTCAATGTTTTGTAGGTATGACTTCTATTACACTTATTACATTATTTGTTGATTTATCTACATTGTATTCAGCATTCTCCAAAACTACTTTTCTGCTCTTTCAAGTGAAACTTTGTTTTAGTTGATGTATGCAGTAATGAGTTTCAAGTTACACATTCACTTGTACAGTACTGAAAATGCAGTTTTGTTTCTGAACATTTCAACTGATTATTTTTTCTTTATATATATATGCTGAGTGATTCCAGGTCTCCCCCCCCCCCCATTTCTGCCTTGGGTATTATGCTCACATGTAGGGGTGTCATAATTGCAAGCCACGCAGTGTTGCCTGGTGCTCAGCAAATACATATGAAAGCAGTGTGTCACTTAATTTTTTTATTCATGATTTTATATATATATATATATATATATATATATATATATATATATATAATATATATATATATATATATATATATATATATATATATATATATATATATATATAATATATATATATATATATATATATACACACACACAGTCGACCCTCGTTAATTCGGACCCCTTTAATCCGGATTTCGGATAAATCGGACGAAATCTGAACTGATCTGAACTGTCCATATCAAATTTCTGGTTCTGGGATTGTCCCAGTTGCAATTGGGGTTGCAATTTCAAATTCTGTGTCACTACTAAGAAATAACAAAGTCCCTGGTGCACTCTAAGATTAAGAGAAAACGGACGACTCAGGCGTCCTGAAGTGAGAGAAAACGGACTCCTATGACGGGGCACTCAAATAAAGAGACATGGCTACATGTTTTGTGGACTAGCCACTGTACAGTATCCTTTTCATCACTTTGTAATAAACCTCGTTATGCCTATGTGTTTTTTATAATTATCATAACATTATATATTTATATATTTAGCGGTTGTACAAACACAAGGCCTCACACATGCCATTCAGACTGACAGACTTGACAAGTTTTACCAACGATAAAGACAGTTGAAGCTTTAAACATCACTCACAATGGATCTTGAATATTCCAACTGTAATCAGACATACCTAAGTTGCCTCAACAATTGCAACCCCAGTTGCAATATCAAATTCTGTGTCACTACTAAGATATAAGTGTCTCTGGTGCACTCTAAGATTAAGAGAAACAGACGACTCAGGAGTGCTGAAGTGAGAGAAAACGGACTTCTATGACGGGGCACTCAAATAAACATACACATAGCTGTATAATGCAATATTAACCCCTAAATCGGTTAATTCGGACAATCGGCTAAAACGGACACCCTTCCCCCCCTATTAGTCCGTTTTAACGAGGGTCGACTGTATATCGTGTTTCATATAAATATACTCCCAATACACAAAATACAAACACATACATAAACATACAAACACATACACACAAACCAACACATCCATACACACATCCACACTCTAAGTCAGGTGCATACAAAAGGGTGAGCTCATCAGCCTTTTCGGGGGGACAGAAAAGGTCGCCTGCGTGACATGCCGCATGCGTGTGTCGGGTAGTAATTGATGTGTGGCAGCACTGCTGGTCTGACAGTATTTTCAAAACATGGGCCTTGATTTGCTTGAAACTCTTAATAAAAACCAAGCTACTTGTACTGTATATAATGCCTTGAGGTACTTCTAATATTTCATCATAGTTATATCTGTAATCATGACCAGCCGACACTCCATTGTTTATCATGGACATACAGTATCTGTGATTGATACCCAGTGGGTTAAAGGAAGATTTTGGTGTGTTTTGGGGGCTGCAGTCCTGTACCTAGTATTTCCTACTGAAATGCACAGAACAATGCACTTATAATGTGATTTGTTATTGGGAGACTATTCTCATGCTGTACCTTAGGTCTACTGTATAATATACTGTATGTTTAATATTCATATTGAATCCGTATCAAAGTTACAGCACTTTACAGATCTCCATCCATCCTTGAGGAATTTTTGTGTACCTGATTAACTGCATACAAAGTTGTGTGGTGGGGAATATTGGCTTTGTTAGATGTAGTATTATTTTAAATGGAATTGTGTATGGTCAAGTGTTTGCATTGTGTGTATTCGCCCCACTTTGGCCCGAGTCTGTTGGGTGGTCTTATTAAATAAGTTTTACTGTACACAACACAATATTAAGATGCTTACGCCTGGAGTTTGAGACACCCTCTTCCATTGAAGAGGGTTGTCATGTTTTAATCCGAGTTTTAAAAAAAAATGAGTTCTGAAGGACACCGCACTACAGTGCATGACTGGGAGGAGTGGCAATAAAATTAACCAATTCCAGTAAAATTAATTTATGTTATTGGAATTAAGTAATTATACCGCCACACCACCCTGTCAAGTACTGTAGTGCGGTGTCCTTCAGAACTTTTTTATTTATTTAACTCGGGTTAAAACACGACTACCCTTGGTGTTTAAAACTCCGGGAATACGTCCATCTAATTTGATATAATTGTTTCAGATACGCAAAATCATTGGCCGATATGGCTTAACAGGAAAGCAGCAAGTTTCTCCTATTCGTCAGTTGAGTGATGGACAACGGTGTCGTGTTGTATTTGCTTGGCTGGCCCACCAAACACCTCATCTCCTACTCCTTGACGAACCTACCAATCACTTGGACATGGATACAATTGATGCTCTTGGTGATGCTATTAGGGACTTTGAAGGTGGCCTAGTATTGGTTTCTCATGACTTCAGGCTAATATCTCAGGTAAGAAATTTTACCTAACTAGGTCAACCCAAATGGTATACAGAAATAGGTGCTGGTAAGATGTGAACAAAATTTTCAGAGATTTCTCACACAGTAGTCTCTCGTAATTGAATTTCATGTTTGTTCTTGTCTTACATCTTTCAGGTTGCCCAAGAAATTTGGATCTGCGAAAAAGAAACTGTTACCAAGTGGCAGGGAGACATTCTTGCATACAAGGATATGTTGAAGAAGAAAGTTCTGAAGGAGAATGAAAAAAGAAAGAAAATGTTTTAGATTTGGGTAATTTACCATTATTTCCATGGGTTCCGTTCTTGATTATTGATACAACCGAATGGTGATTATATTGAATTTAACTAAATGCCTCTTTTTTTTTTTTTTTTTTACATCATGCAGATACTTCCCCTGATTGCCTGTGGTTTTACTTAACAGAAGGATAAGGTAGATCTGATGTTTTGGAATAAATTCTTGGATAATATTTTTTAGTTAGCATAAAGAAGTTGTTCGCCTGGTCGCATGTCATCCTCAATGTTGAAGAGCACGTTTTCTGGTGATTAGTAAGGAGTCATATAAAGTTATTTCTATAAGCTTAATTTACTTTCTTATGGGTATAAAAACTGGAGTATAAAATGTCCACAAAAATTTAGTATTGTGTTCATATTGCATTCCTTGGAAAATATTAACTTAATTTAACTAAATTGGTGAGTTTTATATCAGTTGTAATGGTTCTTGTAACTGCTGAGGGTTAAGCAAGTGGATTACTTTCTATTTCCTGCTTATTTATAAGCTGAAAGGAAATTTTTTTGCACAAATTATTGCTATAGACATGTCATTTGATTGATTTAATTTTTTACTACATATTTCAGGAATAGGTTAATTTCTCTTAGAACTCTATAACTTGGCTTCATGTAAGAAGCTACGTGTTCTTCCCTTTATCGCTCATCATAGACTATCATTAACGTATGTTCATGAAATACTGAAAAATTTTCTCATTTAATTTTTGTTGGTGCAGATCATAGACTTGTTGGTCTTGGTCTCCTAAAAAAGCAATATCAGATATATTATTTAGAGATTACCCTTTAGCCACATACAGTGTTCACTGGAACAATACTTGATCTGCTATGTTCTTAGTCTATACTATCTTTAAAAGAAAAAAACTTCTATTCTCCATATTATTTAGTCTCGTTTATGCAAAGTAGAGAAAATACTTTACCTCCCTTGGTGTTCATGCCCACACTTAGGTTAAGGTTAGTGTGTGTGGGGCAGCTGCTGTGAAGACAAGCACTGTCTTTGGTGATTGCATTGGGTATTTTCCTGTGTATAGGGCATTCTAGAAACCCTAACATTTTGGGTACAGAATGAATATTCAAACTGCATTCCATGTAGATTTTGCACATAGAAATTTGTGCTGGTATGGATGCAGTAACATTTATGTGAGATTCAAGAACACTCGGCCTGAATTCTCAGTTACACTTTTTGCATGTAACTGAGTCTAGGAATTTTACTAAGCACATTCATCTCAACCTGATGAAAAGAAAACTAATTTGTCTATACAATCAGCCAGTGTGTAAAAAAAAATGGGATACCTTTCAAAGTAAATATTTCTTTCAACACATATGTATCTTTTTAATACAAGGAAATGAAACTCCCTTTGTTGTACTTATAACCAAACTACAATGCAGATTTGTGTTTAGCATTGCTTGAAGATAATATATGGTTAGTAATCATTATTGAACAGTAACATTCTTGTATCACCCTTTTATATGTGCAAGAAAAGGCAGGTTTGATCTGGAGAGAGAACAAAGGTAATTAATATGTTTTGCATCATTTTGTTGGAGGCTTCAATATCAAAGCAAATTTCCCTTAACTCTTTATTCTGTGATGCATGGCTTTTGCAAGTTGATTTTATGACTTGTGCAAGTCATCATTAATAATATCATAAACATCGTGTGGGAAATTTTTGTGGGTTAATAGATTACAACACCAATATTACTGTAATTAAAGTGAATGTACAGTAATTGGGTTTTATTTGTTATGCTTTATTAGGTTTAGCCTGTGATGCCTGAGGCTTTGTTGGTTATACAACAGTTGGGAATTATAAGGTTGATAATGCTTTTTAATCAGCAGGCTATGTATACTGTCATTTTTGTATATGGACTTCATAAACTAAATTGTATTCAGTATTTTAATTTGAAACTGAACAGCAACATATTTGTGTATATTTTTGAATTGCACACTATGTAGTGCTGATGTTGTGTAAAGATTTTTTTGGTCTTGTTTAACACAGTTATACTGTGAAAATTATAACTAAACATCCATAGGATGTGTAACTGTATTAATGTAGAAATTTGCATTATTTAAAAATCTGCAATAAACACTCAAAAAAAGACCAGTGTGATTATCTGTGAAAAATATAATATGGATGTGCAAGTTGTAGATCAGTTGTCCTTTGTCAATACACGGAAACATGATACAGGTATCGTGAAATTGATAATTCTGGAGTAGTGCAATTCTGTTTGAAAAGGGATTTGGTTAAAGTTTGTTATTTGGTTGACTTGTGCTGATGTGCAAAATGAAGGGAAGGTGGTTGAATATACAGGGTTTTAATTCGTTGATTTCATTATATGGAATTGAGGAAAGGGAATGGAAATTGTTTTCATCTGAATTAACCACTTGTTTGAAGGGTTCCCTCTGCTGAGTAAAATCGTCTGGCATTAGCTAAATAAAATATTAAAAGTGGCATCCCCAGAGTGAAAGGGTTAATAGAGGAGTGCCTTGAGTGGAGAGAGTGTTTCAGCTTTGTACTCCATGTTACAAGGAATGGGGATGGATTGTATGATGGGAAATGCACCCCTATGAAGGGATGTGTAAACAAGATCTTGGGGCTGTGTTTTGGGAGGGGAGTCACCCTAACAGAACTCCAATATTGTTGCAGTTAAAGGATAATGGGAGTGTTTGTTTTCCTCATTTTACTGATGAGCAGGAAAAATAGAACATAATTGTTCTGATTCATATTGATAAAAGTTTTTGAAATCACTGAAAATAAGCTTCAAATGGGAGGGGATTTGAATTCTTAACCTGACAACTGCAACATACATTCTCAAATGATAAGCAGGGTAGTGCGGCATACATTCTGGAATTCAGAGCGTTTTGAATGTAACATGCAAAAAATTATATCATGCGGGGTCAAGTATGTTTTCTCTATCCTCCGTTTAAGAAACCTCACGAAATCCCATGTTGATGTATATACTTCATACAGTACAGTACAGGTATACATGTATATATAATAATAATAATAATAATCGGTTTATTGAAAAAGTTCTGCAGCCCAAAGGCTGAAAATATACATTGGACATAAATGACTTATTACATACATTGGTGGTTTAACAAAAGCCTTCGTTAGAGAAAGGTGAAGGAACATACAGATTAATGTTTACAGTGAAGGTCACGTAGATCATATTTGAAATTATGAATGAATTCTTGTATGTTACCGTAAGATATACAGTATATACTGTACCTACTTATGGCTGAAACATTCAAGATCTATTGAGAACTATGTTGAAAGCTTCAATTGTATTTACTGTTATTGAAATTGTCAAATAAGTTGTGTGTTGAGATGGCAATAGAAGTGAGAATCCTTTTTTCCACCCTAAGAGAGACTGGCGGTCAAACTAAGGTACCGTAAGTAATGCGCTCCATTTTAGGTTTCCACATTCTTCTACATTCTATCTTTTAATCCACTAGAGTTGAAATGGTGTTAGGGCAAAATCTTTATTTATTTTTTTGCACTGGGGGGGGTTGGTCGACAAATCTCTACATCACTTATCGGGTTAAGAGCAAATTGAGTAGGTTTGCCGCTTGCATTATAAAAGCTGAGATGTGTTCTTATGGAAAAATATTTTTCACAAAAATGTCTTAAAAGTACTACAAAACCAGTTTTAATGTCCAAGGGAGAATGACACTGGGAGGTAAACACAATTTATAAGGGGAACGTATTTTACTTTTAGCCTGGAGAAAAGATTTTCTCACCTTGGATTTAACAGTAAAAGAAAGGTTTCAAAGATCGACAAATGTGTGTGTACCCCAGATGGGGTGAGAAACCGCCTTCTCTACTCACAGAGGTGTAAAAGTGAGCGGACTACCAATGATACTGATGTTTCAAGAGGAATCCATTCATCTTGTCACTTCTCATCTCGATGTGGCAGACACGCATTGTCACTTTTGCGGCTGCATGTGCCTGCCACATCAAGGTGGGGTGAATGGGTTCCTTGTGAAACTATAGTACTGCTGGTGGCCGACTAACGTTTATACTGTATCTCCCTGCATAGAGCTGGTAGTTTCGCACCCCACCTGTGGTGCATGCACAAGTAAAAGAAAGGGTTACAAGATAAATTAAAACTTGCATAAAGTATTTGTTTCATACGTGCATTCAAACCTTTATTTATTTCAAGAATTCGGACGACCTGTGGCTGAAGAGTGCATGATATGTATTGATGATGACAGAAAAACAGGTGTGGCAACCAATAGTTAACTGATATGATGACAATAATATATATATACTTTTTTCATATGGGTTATCAAATTTTTCCTGCCCACTGGGTAGGAAAAAAATGCATACTGCATACCAAGAGTATTATTCTGTCAAATATAATCCATTCTGCAAGTAACTTAGGTGCTCAGTTAATAGCGGTAATATTATACTTACCTTGCTCGTAAACTACCAATTTGGGTTAATATTGTACTGAAGACAATTTGTTCCCAACCTAGAGAAAATCTCAAGTATGGACGAGGAATTGCCTTTTTTTTTCTCCTCTCCATATTTTGTCTTCCTTTAAATGAATTGCATCATAGTCAAGTTGGATCATTACCTATCGAATAAATCATAATTATGGAACAGTACCTGTGACGAGCAATGTCAACAACAGATTAAACTACAAAATGGCGCTGGGTTGACGTGGCTTAACCCAACCAGTTGCCAGTGAAATAAAACCATTAATTTATTACAAGAGTGCCACAATAACACTCATTATTAGTGCCGTAAAATTTACAGCATACATAATTATTTGACTTGGTGACAAAGTTCACTAAGTAGCCCTTACCTCAAAATAAGTAAAGTTTTATCAATTTAGGCAAGGGCAAGGATTCCGAGATGAGAATACAGTGGTGCCTCGGTTAACGAGTTACCTTCCATAAGATTCTAACTTCGGTTAATGAGCAATCCCTCGATTAACGAGTTTCTTACAAGCCGACCTCCACATGTTTTAGCTTGCATTTTGTGGTCCACCAGCTGTAGTATTAGTCCACCAATACAGTAATCGGTTCTAGGGCTTAAATTCCTTGCCCTTTTAGTAAATATCAAGAAGTTTATACTATTCAATAATTTTAAAAGTTTAATATTAAATTTTTTAGTCATTTTAACAGTTATTGAACATAGTTGAAGGTAGGGTCACTAGTTTGTGGCACGCCATCCAGCCTGCCAACACAGCATACAGGTGTCAGTCTTTGTGTCTTTTCTGTGGAGGTAACATCTTGCTTGAGACTCTTCAACTAAACTCTTTTTTTCTGTGTTTACAAGCAAATTATTGGTCATTTTGAAATTTATTTTACATATTGACAATATATAATGCAGTGCAGTGTTGATTTAAAGAAAATAATCTTGAATTACACCAAGAGAACTAAAATTTTATGGGTGAAATGGCGCCATGAGGTGACTTCTCTTCCACCCCAATGCCTTCTCTTCTCCCTTCTCCACCCCCATTCTAATTCCCATCATCATCCAGGAGCCTTCTACATACACACCTCAAAGTAAGTGTACTTTATTACCTTTGTTGTTGAATTTAGGCTATTTTCGGTGAGCTGGAACCAATTACCCAAAAACCCATTGAAACAATGGTTTCGGTTAACGAGCAACCTTCTAGAACGGATTGTGCTCGTTAACTGAGGGACCACTGTAGCTCACTCCCCTATGTGGTGCTGGAAAGTAAACTAAATGATTATCAGGCAAGGAAGATAGCTCGACAAAATCCTTTTTTTTTCTATTGTTTTCATGTTTTTAGCAGCTGTAATGGGACCCGGTACTGTGCATTTATTAAGTGCTCTACCAATTCTGTAAGGAAAAGAAACTTTTTTTCAATTCCCGGAAGGTGCAGAGGCGAATCGTATACCTACTAATGTCAATGTTGACTTCATTAGTTTGTAAGAGCTTTATTTAGTGCATTTAGTACTGATAACGTTCCACTTCAAAATTGTAAGTTAATATCGAGAGTATCATTAGGATATGTAAAATGAACAGGATACTGTAGGGGAGAGTATCCACTACAACTCCCCTACAATAATACTGTTGAATTGTCAAAAATATAGGCTAGAACTGAAATTATGGGTTCTAATTCATTTTAGGACTACCCACGAACTTTTGGACGAAATTATGTTTTTTCCTGTAAAAACGATGTTTTAAGTGGATATCACATTAATTACTTGGGCAAATTCATGAAAACCTTACCTACCCAACTCAAATTGTGGTAAAAATATGAAGAAAAAAAAAACGAACAAAACCAAATTTAACGAAACCTGACTTAACCTAACCTAACTAACCCTATATCTTTGTCTTGGCAATTTTGTGTAATTTTTTATAAAAAACAGACGGTTAAGAATTTGTAAAGTACAACCATTGGAAATTTTGTAGCCTAAACAAAGGACCCTATATTCTTGCTAAACTATACAGTACCTGAAAAGTTAATGCACAAGTTTCACTGAATAAATATTATTACAGTATTACCATTACTGTGTTTCAACTTGGAATAATGTAGCCTTAAAACCTAGTCTTAAATTTCCAGCATTACATTGGTAGTTGTGTAGTTTTGAAGCTGTACTGTACTATTTTAGTTAAACTGTGGTCAACAATTAACAAGCGAGTACAATATAAAATGGTAAAAAGTGGTCACTCAACTCTTTTACCAATTTAAATACCGTGATGTTCTTTGCCATTGATAAAATAACACACTTAAAAAAACTACATACAGAGCATTGGTTAACTGTGTGCGATATTTTGTATTCGTATTCAATGGTGTAAAGCTGTAGCCACCATCGCACTTACAGAAGAACCGAAGGGAGTATATTCCTTAAGTTGGCAAATTATTACCTTTCCCTGGATATTAAAGTGGAATGTTAATAACCTACTGATTATATATAAATTGTTTTTATTGGATAATCTCGTGTTACCACACGATATCACGTAATGCTTGGGCTTAATTTTTTTTTTACTTTCCGGCTGCTTGGCGACACCACTGTCGCGGGATGATTAAAAAATTAACATTGACCGAGTTATCCTCATATATTATCAGAATCCTTGGTATAGCATATTCCTTACCAGTTCAGGATGTGCGAAGAGGTCAGAAAACGGATTCTTGGGGTTCCCGTCGCCTTTGGGTTGTGAGAGGCTACAAGATAAGGTTGACAAGGCAAGGGGGTGGCCGTATGAGGAGAGGTTGTTGGGTCTATAGTACAGGGTGTCCACATTGAAATTAAACAACTTTTAGCCTTATAATTTTGTTTATTGAGTAATGAAAACAAAGGAATATCCACACAACCTATAGTCAGAATGCATAAGTTTCATTTGATGTATGGGTACGTTAGGGCAAGATAACCCTTGTGTTAGGGAAGACATTAAACATGTGCGCCATTCATAGCACGGATTAAGTCACAACGGTACTCAATTTCCCTCCACACATTTTCTAATGTGATGCTCTCTTTCAGTTGAGCAAAGTCCTGCACGTAATGTGAGACCGGATTATTGCTTTGAAATATTAAAGAAGTAAAGCCAATTCTAAATCTGTCAGTGTTTGCCACGAGGCTGTTGTAGGACACGCGAATGTGGTGAGTTTGCTATTAATCTCGTGACTCGGTGTTAAGGAATGTTAGAGGGGAAATTCTTTAACAATACAGTATTGCAATATTTTCTCTCACCACGGAGAGAACTCAGTTTTCCCGGGCAACAAGAGCTCCAGTTTACCAGGAAAATTTTATCACTTTGAGTACTCCAAGTTACAGAGAAAACAGATATACCGCCAGTATGATTATCATCAGTGACTGGCAGCTTGTAAAAGTACGCCACCAAACACGTCAGTATGCAAGTCTCGCGTGGCAACTCACTCCTTTGTCTAAGGCTAAAAGAGAACATGTTCGTACATGGTC